TCTAGTTCAGTTCTAGTTCAGTTCTAGTTCAGTTCTAGTTCAGTTCTAGTTCAGTTCTAGTTCAGTTCTAGTTCAGTTCTAGTTCAGTTCTAGTTCAGTTCTAGTTCAGTTCTAGTTCAGTTCTAGTTCAGTTCTAGTTCAGTTCTAGTTCAGTTCTAGTTCAGTTCTAGTTCAGTTCTAGTTCAGTTCTAGTTCAGTTCTAGTTCAGTTCTAGTTCAGTTCTAGTTCAGTTCTAGTTCAGTTCTAGTTCAGTTCTAGTTCAGTTCTAGTTCAGTTCTAGTTCAGTTCTAGTTCAGTTCTAGTTCAGTTCTAGTTCAGTTCTAGTTCAGTTCTAGTTCAGTTCTAGTTCAGTTCTAGTTCAGTTCTAGTTCAGTTCTAGTTCAGTCGGTTCTAGTTTCAGTTCTAGTTCAGTTCTAGTTCAGTTCTAGTTCAGTTCTAGTTCAGTTCTAGTTCAGTTCTAGTTCAGTTCTAGTTCAGTTCTAGTTCAGTTCTATAGTTCAGTTCTAGTTCAGTCTAGTCGTTCTAGGTCAGTTCTAGTTCAGTTCTAGTTCAGTTCTAGTTCAGTTCTAGTTCAGTTTCTAGTTCAGTTCTAGTTCAGTTCTAGTTCAGTTCTAGTTCAGTTCTAGTTCAGTTTCTAGTTCAGTTCTAGTTCAGTTCTCTATTCAGTTCTACATCAGTTTAGTTCAGTTCTAGTTTTTTTATAGTTCCGTTCAAGTTTAGTTGTAGTATAGTTGTAGTTGAGTTGTGTTGTTGTAATTCATTTGTAGTTCAGTGCAGCAACTAAGTGCTTTAATTTGTAGGAATTATTTTGCATTACTCTGCCTATTACATGGTTGACGACGTATGGCAATAGTTTTAATACACATTGAATTTTGAAGTATGTATTATAAATAAACACAATAAATGTATGTATGTATACATGTGGTAATGATATTTTTAAAACGCAAAATTGTGTATATTTTCTATTTATTTTTTTTTCTGTCTCAAATAAAAAAACACGTGGAAACATAATGCATGAATTTACAAAGAAATTCAAATAATAAATAAAGAAAATTGAGGATTCTAGCAAAATTGTATACAAAGTATGTAACTTAGTGATGTGGAAAATAGCAACGAGTATTAATTTGCTAAGTATAAATTACTAGTTATGGTTACTTAAACTTTAGTAATTGTTTTAAAAACCCGTTTGGATCTTTTCCAAAAAAAGGGAAAATTTTAATAATAGTGTCTGTAATATTTGATATACATATTTCAAAACTTTTCTTTCATTTTAGTGTAAAAATATCTCCAACTTATGAATGAGTACCTAGTACTTACTCACTACTGTCATGTTTACATTTCAATTTAATGACTTTTGTATGTTTTTCCCTCTTTTGTTTATATTTTGCAAGAGGAAACATATGTTTCATTTTATAATTTGCCTTTCTTTTTTTTAAGATATATTTATGTATTTTTAAAGATATTTTTACTTATTGTTGGGCATGTAATGGAAAAGAAATAAACACATACAGCCAGACCATATAATGGAAATTTACACATGTTTTCCTAAAAATAATCACTTTACAAATTGCACTTAACTAGAGAGGGAAGTTATTTTTAACTTAATATTCAGATAAAAGATCTACAGCAAGAGAGCGAAACTGAGATTCTGTCGGAGACTATGACACACAGTGGTATAGGAAAAAAAAAAGAGGGAAATAATTCGGTAACTTCTAAACGGTTAATCCGATTTTAATGAAATTTGGTGTGCACAAAGAGGAGGTGTTGTCGAGTTTAGGTTTTGAATTTGGACCTTATAGGCCAACCAGGGGCCCGGCGGGGGGTCCTCAAATTAGGACACCTCGGCTATGTTAAATTTTTAAAACGATCCTATTTCTTCATTTGAGTTCCGATTTAAAAAAAATTTCGTATATAGAATCTCCTCATCGAGCACTATAAAAAATGTCGTCGTAGCAGTAAATTATCTCTTATAGTTTAGGAGATATTCGCATTTGAATATTAAAATTTTAAAATTTTTACCGTCCTTACTTTAGTTTTTTTGATAATAGCAGGTCCAAATATTTCCGATTTTCGCCATTTTTTTTTATTTGCTTAACAACAAGTTTATATACCAAGCAGTGAAAGAATTATGTAAAAATCATGACTGAGTCCAAAGTTATAGGCATTTAAATTTAAAAAATTAAAAAAAGGCGATTTTTTTGTCATTTTTTTGGGAAAAAGTATCTTTTTCTTTTTAAGTTATCTAAAAAGTTTCTAAGAAGATGTATATAGAATTTATACTTTTTGGAAAGCTGACTTTACATAAAATACGATAAATGAAACAAAACCTAAAAATTTTTGATACCGAGGGGACCAGGTCCATCCAAAAAAACCCTATTTTTTATGGAAAATTAAATTTTGAGCAAAAATTCTCAAATCGCATAGTCGATATCAAATTATAGTGACCTGTTTTATATGACCCAATAAGTTCTTAATCATTTTGTAACGGGTTTCGATAACCCCGCCCCTGGTATGGATATAATAGGCAAAAAACCAAAAAATCCCATTTTTGGGATTTTTTAAAACTTTTTTGGGAATTCCGGGATTTCTAATAAGAAAATTCGAAATTTTTATTTAATTTTGGATTTTGAGTAAAAAAATCTACCTAACTGTAAAATTTCATCAAAAAATATTCATAAATAAAATTTTTATTGCAATTTGAAAAATTTGTATCTTCGCAAAAACTGAATAAAAAACATTTTTTAATTTTTTTTAAAAAAAGTATTCCGCGAATTTTTTAATTTTCAAAAATTATATACAGTTTTGAAAAATAGACAAAATTACCTTTCCATTGATATATAACATGCCTACCTAATGTTTTTTAAGTGACAAATTAATTAGGGAAAACTCAACATCTTTTAGAAAATTTGCCTAGCACTATTATTTTCATCCATAAGGTTAACTCTTAAATTTGTTACATATATGGATGAAAGTCGGAAATATTTGGACCTGCTATTATCAAAAAAACTAAAGTAAGGACGGTAAAAATTTTAAAATTTTAATATTCAAATGCGAATATCTCCTAAACTATAAGAGATAATTTACTGCTACGACGACATTTTTTATAGTGCTCGATGAGGAGATTCTATATACGAAATTTTTTTTAAATCGGAACTCAAATGAAGAAATAGGATCGTTTTAAAAATTTAACATAGCCGAGGTGTCCTAATTTGAGGACCCCCCGCCGGGCCCCTGGTTGGCCTATAAGGTCCAAATTCAAAACCTAAACTCGACAACACCTCCTCTTTGTGCACACCAAATTTCATTAAATCGGATTAACCGTTAGAAGTTACCGAATTATTTCCCTCTTTTTTTTTTCCTATACCACTGTGTGACAGTTTAATGGTAATAATAATTAATTTTAGAAAAAAGATCCTTGGAAAACACGTGCTTTGTATAAATAATATTTTATGAGAGATATATGTTTTAAAGAAAGTTATTAGACTAGACTAAAGACTGGACTATAGACTAGACTATAGACTAGACTATAGACTAGATTATAGACTAGACTATAGACTAGACTATAGACTAGACTATAGACTAGACTATAGACTAGACTATAGACTAGACTATAGACTATAGACTAGACTATAGACTAGACTATAGACTAGACTATAGACTAGACTATAGACTATAGACTAGACCATAGACTAGACTATAGACTAGACTATAGACTAGACTATAGACTAGACTAGACTAGACTATAGACTAGACCATAGACTAGACTATAGACTAGACTATAGACTAGACTATAGACTAGACTATAGATTAGACTATAGACTAGACTATAGACTAGACTATAGACTAGACTATAGACTAGACTATAGACTAGACTATAGACTAGACTATAGACTAGACTATAGACTAGACTATAGACTAGACTATAACTAGACTATAGGACTAGACTATAGACTAGACTATAGACTAGACTATAGACTAGACTATAGACTAGACTATAGACTAGACTATAGACTAGACTATAGACTAGACTATAGACTAGACTATAGACTAGACTATAGACTAGACTATAGACTAGACTATAGACTAGACTATAGACTAGACTATAGACTAGACTAGACTATACTATAGACTAGACTATAGACTAGACTATAGACTAGACTATAGACTAGACTATAGACTAGACTATAGACTAGACTATAGACTAGACTATAGACTAGACTATAACTAGACTATAGACTAGACTATAGACTAGACTATAGACTAGACTATAGACTAGACTATAGACTAGACTATAGACTAGACTATAGACTAGACTATAGACTAGACTTAGACTAGACTATAGACTAGACTATAGACTAGACTATAGACTAGACTATAGACTAGACTATAGACTAGACTATAGACTATACTAAATAGACTATAACTAGACTATAGACTAGACTATAGACTGACTATAGACTAGACTAGAGACTAGACTATAGACTAGGACTATAGACTAGACTATAGACTAGATATAGACTAGACTATAACTAGACTATAGACTAGACTATAAACTAGACTATAGACTAGACTATAGACTAGACTACAGACTAGACTATAAAATATATTTGAATGACTTTCCTTTCATTTTAAGCAGTTCATTTTAAAATGTTTTAATTCCGTTTAACAATTATCTGTCATATTATTTAATTCAATTTTATTGTTTTTTATTGTTTCTATAGATTTTATTAGTAATCAAACTAATACATTATAATTTTTTTTATAAATTGCCTTTATTATAAAAAATCTTGCATTACTTTAGACATGCTATTTCATATTATTTTATGTAGTTTTATTTCATTTTTTACACTTGACCTACAAAAACAATTAGAAAAATATATAAAAAGATTAGAAACAAAAAAAAAAAAAAAAAAAATTATATGAAGTTAACAAATGTAGGAGATTTCTTTTTTCGTTGATATATTATAAATGGTTAATTGATTTGTTTTCTTTTTTTTCAGCGGCATTTTCCTGTACCATAAAATGCATTACCAAAAAAGGTCTAATAAAAACCATAAAATTTACTTGCAAAGAAATAAGATTCTGAAAGAATTAACAGAGTTGCAATCATGAGAATGTGGTGGCACTATTGGATTGTAAAGAATCACAGGATGGTGTGAATTAGTAATGGAGGTGAGTTGGTTGAAAAACAATAAATCTTTAAAGAAAAAATACCTGTATATTACTACTTTAAGTCTAATTCTAGTTCAGTTGTAGTTCAGTTCTAGTTCAGTTCTAGTTCAGTTTCTAGTTCAGTTCTAGTTCAGTTCTAGTTCAGTTCTAGTTCAGTTCTAGTTCAGTTCTAGTTCAGTTCTAGTTCAGTTCTAGTTCAGTTCTAGTTCAGTTCTAGTTCAGTTCTAGTTCAGTTCTAGTTCAGTTCTAGTTCAGTTCTAGTTCAGTTCTAGTTCAGTTCTAGTTCAGTTCTAGTTCAGTTCTAGTTCAGTTCTAGTTCAGTTCTAGTTCAGTTCTAGTTCAGTTCTAGTTCAGTTCTAGTTCAGTTCTAGTTCAGTTCTAGTTCAGTTCTAGTTCAGTTCTAGTTTCAGTTCTAGTTCAGTTCTAGTTCAGTTCTAGTTCAGTTCTAGTTCAGTTCTAGTTCAGTTCTAGTTCAGTTCTAGTTCAGTTCTAGTTCAGTTCTAGTTCAGTTCTAGTTCATTTCTGTTTCTAGTTCAGTTCTAGTTCAGTTCTAGTTCAGTTCTAGTTCAGTTCTAGTTCAGTTCTAGTTCAGTTCTAGTTCAGTTCTAGTTCAGTTCTAGTTCAGTTCTAGTTCAGTTCTAGTTCAGTTCTAGTTCAGTTCTAGTTCAGTTCTAGTTCAGTTCTAGTTCAGTTCTAGTTCAGTTCTAGTTAAGTTCTAGTTCAGTTCTAGTTCAGTTCTAGTTCAGTTCTAGTTCAATTCTAGTTCAGTTCTAGTTCAGTTCTAGTTCAGTTCTAGTTCAGTTCTAGTTCACTTCTAGTTCAGTTCTAGTTCAGTTCTAGTTCAGTTCTAGTTCAGTTCTAGTTCAGTTCTAGTTCAGTTCTAGTTCTAGTTCAGTTCAGTTTAGTTCAGTTCTAGTTCAGTTCTAGTTCAGTTCTAGTTCAGTTCTAGTTCAGTTCTAGTTCAGTTCTAGTTCAGTTCTAGTCCAGTTCTAGTTCAGTTCTAGTTCAGTTCTAGTTCAGTTCTAGTTCAGTTCTAGTTCAGTCTAGTTCAGTTCTAGTTCAGTTCTAGTTCAGTTCTAGTTCAGTTCTAGTTCAGTTCTAGTTCAGTTCTAGTTCAGTTCTAGTTCAGTTCTAGTTCAGTTCTAGTTCAGTTCTAGTTCAGTTCTAGTTCAGTTCTAGTTCAGTTCTAGTTCAGTTCAGTTCAGTTCTAGTTCAGTTCTAGTTCAGTTCTAGTTCAGTTCTAGTTCAGTTCTAGTTCAGTTCTGGTTCAGTTCTAGTTCAGTTCTAGTTCAGTTCTAGTTCAGTTCTAGTCAGTTCTAGTTCAGTTCTAGTTCAGTTCTAGTTCAGTTCTAGTTCAGTTCTAGTTCAGTTCTAGTTCAGTTCTAGTTCAGTTCTAGTTCAGTTCTAGTTCAGTTCTAGTTCAGTTCTAGTTCAGTTCTAGTTCAGTTCTAGTTCAGTTCTAGTTCAGTTCTAGTTCAGTTCTAGTTCAGTTCTAGTTCAGTTCTAGTTCAGTTCTAGTTCAGTTCTAGTTCAGTTCTAGTTCAGTTCTAGTTCAGTTCTAGCTCAGTTCTAGTTCAGTTCTAGTTCAGTTCTAGTTCAGTTCTAGTTAAGTTCTAGTTCAGTTCTAGTTCAGTTCTAGTTCAGTTCTAGTTCAGTTCTAGTTCAGTTCTAGTTCAGTTCTAGTTCAGTTCTAGTTCAGTTCTAGTTCAGTTCTAGTTCAGTTCTAGTTCAGTTCTAGTTCAGTTCTAGTTCAGTTCTAGTTCAGTTCTAGTTCAGTTCTAGTTCAGTTCTAGTTCAGTTCTAGTTCAGTTCTAGTCCAGTTCTAGTTCAGTTCTAGTTCAGTTCTAGTTCAGTTCTAGTTCAGTTCTAGTTCAGTTCTAGTTCAGTTCTAGTTCAGTTCTAGTTCAGTTCTAGTTCAGTTCTAGTTCAGTTCTAGTTCAGTTCTAGTTCAGTTCTAGTTCAGTTCTAGTTCAGTTCTAGTTCAGTTCTAGTTCAGTTCTAGTTCAGTTCTAGTTCAGTTCTAGTTCAGTTCTAGTTCAGTTCTAGTTCAGTTCTAGTTCAGTTCTAGTTCAGTTCTAGTTCAGTTCTAGTTCAGTTCTAGTTCAGTTCTAGTTCAGTTCTAGTTCAGTTCTAGTTCAGTTCTAGTTCAGTTCTAGTTCAGTTCTAGTTCAGTTCTAGTTCAGTTCTAGTTCAGTTCTAGTTCCGTTCTAGTTCAGTTCTTTTTCAGTTCTAGTTCTGTGCTAGTTCAAGTCTAGTTCTGTTATAGTACGTATTGGCGTATTTGGTGAGGTGAGGTTAAGGATGATTCATTGTTATTTCCTTAACGATGTTTAATTCGAAACAAATACGACAATATTGATAATAATAACAATATTTCTAATAATGACGTCTTATAATTTTCATTAACAAAACACAAACAATAACAATATAAGAAAACGTGTTGTTTTTTTATATTTTTAATAGATAAATAAAAAATCAACTTTTACTTTAACAAATTGTTCTTAATATTTAGCACATATTGTTGTTTTTGCTATTGCTGTTTAACAAACGAAAAAGGGGAAATAAGATTTCAATGCACTCTTTTGATTCATATAAATATTTATTTAAATGGATAAATAAGATTTCATTATTGTTAGTTCAATGACTTGCGTTTCTTTACGTTTTTTTTTTTCGAAAAAAGAACACAAAGTTCATAATTTTTGGAAAACTTTTTATTCAAATAATTTTCAGCTTAAAATTGTTTTTTATATTTATCTCTTTTCTTAACATGTTCAATTTATTATCTATTGGTGGAATTTAAAAAGATTTTTTAATTGCGTAATTTTCGGAATTATTTCTCTTTTTTTGCGCATGAAATTTATTAATAAGTTTAAGAATTTGCACTTAATTTTAGATACACATTGTTATTTATGTGTTTATTTTAAATAATGCAATTATTATTGAAATTTATAATCAAATACAAATATGCTTAAACAGAGTGACTAGAAATAGTTAAAACAAACGCTATTTAGACACTAACTGTAACAGATTACAAACTATTTGCTAGACTATAGTTTATATTTTAAACTATAGATTCTACTACAAATTTTTATAATTTCCAATAGATACCTCCTATTCCAAAGACTTTTCTTTTTGTTTATAATCCTCAAAGAAAATCCCATTATAAATACAGTATAACAACCACAGAAGTCAAGCCAAATTACTGGCTGATAACAATATAATATGAACATTTTTTTAACCTTGACATCAACAATAAACGGGCGATAAATACAAAGTAAATGTGGTACATTAACATTATTTACAGAAGATTTTTCGTATACAAACTTATTAAACAAATGCCGGTCAAAGACTTCTACTTATTTGTAAAACAAAATAACAAATTTTGTTCGTGCATTAAAAATAAACGATAAAATAATTTTAAAAACAATAACAAATAATACACAATGCAACAACTACATACATATTATTGAAAAAAAGCAAACCCAGAACTAGAACAGAGCTAGAACAGAACTAGAAACATAACTAGAACAGAACTAGAACAGAACTAGAACAGAACTAGAACAGAACTAGAACAGAACTAGAACAGAACTAGAACAGAACTAGAACAGAACTAGAACAGAACTAGAACAGAACTAGAACAGAACTAGAACAGAACTAGAACAGAACTAGAACAGAACTAGAACAGAACTAACAGAACTAAACAGCTAAAATCAGAACTAGAACAGAAACTAGAACAGAACTAGAACAGAACTAGAACAGAACTAGAACATAACTAGAACAGAACTAGAACAGAACTAGAACAGAACTAGAATAGAACTAGAACAGAACTAGAACAGAACTAGAACGAACTAGAACAGAACTAGAACATAACTAGAACAGAACTAGAACAGAACTAGAACAGAACTAGAACAGAACTAGAACAGAACCTAGAACAGAACTAGAACAGAACTAGAACAAACTAGAACAGAACTAGAACAGAACTAGAACAGAACTATAACAGAACTAGAACACAACAAGAACAGAACTAGAACAGATCTACAACAGAACTAGAGCAGAACTATAACGCAACGTATAAAGAACTATAACAGAACTAGAACCGAAACTAGAACAGAACCTAGAACAGAACTAGAACAGAACTAGAACAGAACTATAACGAACTAGAACAGAACTAGAACAGAACTAGAACAGAACTAGAATCAGAACTAGAAGCAGACAGAACTAGAACGAACTAGAACTGAACTAGAACTGAACTAGAACGAACTAGAACTGAACTAGAACTGAACTAGAACTGAACTAGAACTGAAACTAGAACTGAACTAGAACTGAACTAGAACTGAACTAGAACTGAACTAACTGACTAGAACTGAACTAGAACTGAACTAGAACTGAACTAGAACTGAACTGAACTGAACTAGAACTGAACTAGAACTGAACTAGAACTGAACTAGAAACTGAACTAGAACTGAACTAGAACTGAACTAGAACGAACTAGAACTGAACTAGAACTGAACTAGAACTGAACTAGAACTGAACTAGAACTGAACTAGAACTGAACTAGAACTGAACTAGAACTGAACTAGAACTGAACTAGAATAGGAACTAGACGAACAGAACTGAACCTAGAACAGAATTAGAACAGAACTAGAACGAGAACTAGAACAGAACTAGAACAGAACTAGAACAGAACTAGAACAGAACTAGAACAGAACTAGAAACTAGAACAGAAGAACAGAACTAGAACAGAACTAGAACAGAACTAGAACAGAACTAGAACAGAACTAGAACAGAACTAGAACAGAACTAGAACAGAACTAGAACAGAACTAGAACAGAACTAGAACAGAACTAGAACAAAACTAGAACAGACCTTGAACAGAACTAGAACAGAACTAGAACAGAAGTTGAACAGAACTAGAACAGAACTAGAACAGAACTAGAACAGAACTAGAACAGAACTGGAACAGAACTAGATCAGAACTAGAACAGAACTAGAACAGAACTAGAACAGAACTAGAACAGAACTAGAACAGAGCTAGAACAGAGCTAGAACAGAACTAGAACAGAACTAGAACAGAACTAGAACAGAACTAGAACAGAACTAGAACAGAACTAGAACAGACTAGAACAGAACTAGAACAGAACTAGAACAGAACTAGAACAGAACTAGAACAGAACTAGAACAGAACTAGAACAGAACTAGAACAGAACTAGAACAGAACAGAACTAGAACTGAACTAGAACAGAAACTAGAACAGAAACTAGAACAGAACTAGAACAGAACTAGAACGAACTAGAACAGAACTAGAACTGAACTAGAACAGAAGTAGAACAGAACTAGAACAGAACTAGAACAGAACTAGAACAGAACTAGAACAGAACTAGAACAGAACTAGAACAGAACTAGAACATAACTAGAACAGAACTAGAACAGAACTAGAACAGAACTAGAACTAGAACAGAACTAGAACAGAACTAGAACAGAACTAGAACAGAACTAGAACAGAACTAGAACAGAACTAGAACAGAACTAGAACAGAACTAGAACAGAACTAGAAAAAGAACTAGAACAGAACTAGAACAAAATAAAACAGAACTAGAACAGAACTGGAACAGAACTAGAACTAAATTAGAACCTATTTAGAACAGAACTGTAGTAGATACATACGTATAGTCTATAGTCTAGTCTAATATCGAATTTAAAGTCTAGTCTATCTATTATCTAGTCTATAGTCTTGTTTATCTATAGTCTTGTCTATAGACTATTCTATATTCTTGTTTTTAATGTAGTCTATAGTAAACTCTATAGAATATTCTATAGCCTAGTCTATAGTGTAGTTTATAGTTTTGTCTATAGTACAGTATATAGTGTAGTCTATAGGTAAGTCTATATATAATCTACTGGTCTATAATCAAATCTTTAGTTTAGCCTATCTATGGTCTAGCATGACTTTAATCGAGTAGAACTGAACTATGGTCTATATAATATATAGCTTGGCCTATAGTCCAGTCAACAGTCTAGACTATAATCGATTCTATAGGCTAGTTTCGATTCGAATCTATATTGTAGTCTATAATATAGCCTATAGTGTACTCTATAGTCTAGTTTGTAAACTAGTTTAAAGTCTATTGTAATCTATAGTCTAGTCTTTAGCCTAGTCTACAACCTAGTATGTGTATGGTAGAGTCTAATCAATATACCATGTGGTATAGTTTCTACTGTAGTCCAATGTTTTTTTTTAAGAAAGTTGTTCTCTTTTCCGCAATAATTAACCTTTACACTTTTATATATTTATTAGACAAAACTATTTATTATTTAGAAAATAGAAAGAAATAACTAAATATAAGATACAGACAAGACTAGTTGCTTTACGAACCACAAAACTAAGAAGAAACACAATACATATAGACAAGAAAATACACTTATTACAGAAAAAGTTTATTACTTAAATGCTAGTTTTTCTATTATAGATTTTATAAAAGCTATAAAAAAAAGAGTTAAAGTTAACTTATAAAATTAATAAAGAAACCTATTCAACTTTTGGTTAATTAAATTAATTGTAGCAACAATTACTAAGCAGACAATAGAATGTATTTGGCAAGTACATACATATGTTTTTGCTTATATGGAAAAATTTACTTTTATTTTTGTGTGTGTGTGAGTTTGTGGGATCATCAGTTTGTTCGTTTATAAATATTTACAGAGTGGATGAAGGGAAACAAAAATTTGTGTAGATTTTAAAAAATTAAATTCTAACTTAATTATTTAACTTAATAAATAAACTAAGTTAACTTATTTAAAGGAATCTCCTCACCGGGAGAACCTGCTTCTGTTGTTTTTTCATCTAAAGGTTTTTTGGTGCGACAGCATTTTGTCTTAATGCCACCCACATCTTTGCGGCAGATGATGCCAATGATAATGCCAATAACAGAAATAACCATGAGACCTGGGGGAATAAAGAAAATTATAGTATTTAAAGAAAAATGTGTATATTATTTGGACATCTATACCTATTAACATGAAATTAATGGCTTCTTGTGAAATGGGTACTTGATAGGGTTTTTCCGGATCTTCTCCCGCCGGCGGCACCACTCCCGCCTGCAAGACATCATCAGTATTATTGGAAAATTCTGCTGCCAGTGTTAAATTAGAAGACATAGTGGAAGTTTCTATAAAAATAACAATAAATTCATTTAACACATTTTCTTAATTTGTTGTTCTACTCTCTTCTCCACTTACCTTGTTTCTTAGCTTGTTTAGTTTATCTAGTTGTTTATTATCTGTCGCTTTTAATTCTCTATCTGTTTCTGCCTTCTTTCTTTTCTTAATCTCTTCCTCTATTTCCAACTCTAATTTAGGTTTTTATATGGCGGTTCCGTGGCCAAGATTAAACTTTCATTGTAGCTTGCACCCAAAACCAATTCATAGCAACTAACATCGAAATGTTTAAAACCAATATTATCGATAAATTTCAAGAGATTACATAGCTCCTCCGTGCTATGGGCATCCAATTCGGGTAGACGTAGCTTAATCAAGTTTTTCAGCGGCACAAATGCTTTAGTATTGATTTTCTAAAAAGAATAAATCCAACAACATGAAGAATAACAAGAAAATAAGTAATAAATGCGAATGCGAGAAAAAATAAACATAATAAAACCAAATGTACACAAGAAAATGAAATGTCAAATTATAGGGGAGTAAACATACTGGATAAAAGCTTATTGTACAAACAAAAAAAGCAAAAGCTTAAATAAGAAAAGCTTTTATCAAATACGCACAAGTGGAAGAAAAATAGTCTTGCCAGATTAAATATTAAAGTAAATGGCACGTAAAGGAGAGAAAACCGTTATATTGAACAAAACATAAACAAATTTATAAATTTAGGGCAATTAAAAAAAAGAAAGTGTCTTAAATATTTTTATATAAATTTAAAATTTATCGGTTATATTTGTAAATTTTAACAAAAATAATAAAAAAAATTAAACAGAACTAGAACTGAACTATACTGAACTAGAACTGAACTAGAACTGAACTAGAACTGAACTAGAACTGAACAGAACTGAACCTGAACTGAATCTAGAACTGAACTAAGAACGACTGACTATAACTCTGACTAGAACTGAACTAGAACTAACTAGAACGAACTAGAACTGAACTTAACTGAACTAGAACTGAACAAGAACTGACTAGACTGAACTAGAACTGAACTAGAACTGAACTAGAACTGAACTAGAACTGAACTAGAACTGAACTAGAACTGAACTAGAACTGAACTAGAACTGAACTAGAACTGAACTAGAACTGAACTAGAACTGAACTAGAACTGAACTAGAACTGAACTAGAACTGAACTAGAACTGAACTAGAACTGAACTAGAACTGAACTAGAACTGAACTAGAACTGAACTAGAACTGAACTAGAACGAACTAGAACTGAACTAGAACTGAACTAGAACTGAACTAGAACTGAACTAGAACTGAACTAGAACTGAACTAGAACTGAACTAGAACTGAACTAGAACTGAACTAGAACTGAACTAGAACTGAACTAGAACTGAACTAGAACTGAACTAGAACTCAACTATAACTGAACTAGAACTGAACTAGAACTGAACTAGAACTGAACTAGAACTGAACTAGAACTGAACTAGAACTGAACTAGAACTGAACTAGAACTGAACTAGAACTGAACTAGAACTGAACTAGAACTGAACTAGAACTGAACTAGAACTGAACTAGAACTGAACTAGAACTGAACTAGAACTGAACTAGAACTGAACTAGAAGTGAACTAGAACTAGAACTGACCTAGAACTGAACTAGAATTGAACTAGAACTGAACTAGAACTGAACTAGAACTGAACTAGAACTGAACTAGAACTGAACTAGAACTGAACTAGAACTGAACTAGAACTGAACTAGAACTGAACTAGAACTGAACTAGAACTGAACTAGAACTGAACTAGAACTGAACTAGAACTGAACTAGAACTGAATTAGAACTGAACTAGAACTGAACTAGAACTGAACTAGAACTGAACTAGAACTGAACTAGAACTGAACTAGAACTGAACTAGAACTGAACTAGAACTGAACTAGAACTGAACTAACTGAACTAGAACTGAACTAGAACTGAACTAGAACTGAACTAGAACTGAACTAGAACTGAACTAGAACTGAACTAGAACTGAACTAGAACTGAACTAGAACTGAACTAGAACTGAACTAGAACTGAACTAGAACTGAACTAGAACTGAACTAGAACTGAACTAGAACTGAACTAGAACTGAACTAGAACTGAACTAGAACTGAACTAGAACTGACAAGAACTGAACTAGAACTGAACTAGAACTGAACTAGAACTGAACTAGAACTGAACCAGAACTGAACTAGAACTGAACTAGAACTGAACTAGAACTGAACTAGAACTGAACTAGAACTAGAACTGAACTAGAACTGAACTAGAACTGAACTAGAACTGAACTAGAACTGAACTAGAACTGAACTAGAACTGAACTAGAACTGAACTAAACTGAACTAGAACTGAACTAGAACTGAACTAGAACTGAACTAGAACTGAACTAGAACTGAACTAGAACTGAACTAGAACTGAACTAGAACTGAACTAGAACTGAACTAGAACTGAACTAGAACTGAACTAGAACTGAACTAGAACTGAACTAGAACTGAACTAGAACTGAACAAGAAAACTAGAACTGAACTAACGAAAACGACTAGAACTGAACTAGAACTGTACTGGAACGAAGGAAGTAATAACTACTTACCTTATTAAAATCATTTAAATCTATTCTCAAAGCAGTCAATGATGAAGTATTCTTAAAAGTATCATCATACAGCTCCGTCCAAGAACAATTACGACAATTCAATTCCAATAGAGAAGGTTGATTTAGGAATGAGTCATGATCATTTAAATTATGGAATTATTACTTAAATCCAATAAACTTAAATCCGAAGCACCCATAAAAGGTATCGGGATGTATAGAGGTTAAAAGATTATTAGACAATTTTAGCCTTTGTAAGCGAGGTAAATCCACAAGACCTGGAAAAGGAAAAAAAATAATTAGATTTACAGTTTGAGACATTTAAGATAAATTCCTTACCTCCTGTTCCAATTTCTCTATATGATTATTATTAAATTGATTCTTGCAATTTTGAACGATGTGCAAAATCGGTTTTCTTAATTTCTTGTATTTCATTATGACTTAAATCTATAATGGCTGCAGTAGTGGGTATATCGCGTGGTATTTCCTTGAGACCAGCATTTGAGCATTTTATATATTTGAAATCTTCTAAACAAAAGCAAGCCTTAGGGCAGCTGGGCTCTACCACATGATTACTACGTTGGGGGGATGTCTGTTGGGGAGTTCGGAGTCAAATTTATTTAGCTTAAAGAATGTTTTGGGGAAGAGCTTAACTTACCAAATAAATTAAATATGAATGAAGATGATTTTGTGGTTGTTGTTATTGGATTTATACTACTAGGTGTAGATGCTTTACTTTTGGTATCTTCTGTATCATCATAATAATCATCATCGTAATTATCACGATATTCATCATCATATACGGAGGTTTCATTTGTAACGGGTGCAGCTCTGGTGTGATAAAAACTATAAAGAGAAAAATAAGAAAAATTTATTGAAAATTTTTAAAAAATAGAAGAAATTTTCCAAAATTTATAAAAAAATTATTTGAAATACAAATTTTAAACGGAAATTTTTGTATAATTACTTTTAAATTCCCTTTAATCTATTTCAAAACTGTCTATCTTATTTAATTGTTTTAATTATTAAATCTTCTTATTTCTTATGCATTTTTTTCTTAAATGTAATTTTTATGAAAAATAAAACATTCCCTTGTTATGAATAAAAACAATTACAAATGCTTGGAAAATAATTGTTAAAACAATTAAATAAAAATTTATTTTACTGAATTAATTGCTAAATTATAAATAGAATTGTATAAATATTAAAGTCCAAAGTTAATACTGTTAAATGACTACGTCATTTTTAAATTACAAAAGTGGAAAAGGTATTTATTTTATAAATTAATTATTCAATTTTTTTAATTCAAACTTTTTTTAACAATTTTTTGCAAATGAACTCAATTCTAGTTCTAGTTCAGCTCTAGTTTAGTTCTAGTTTAGTTCTAGTTCAGTTCTAGTTCAGTTCTAGTTCAGTTCTAGTTCAGTTCTAGTTCAGTTCTAGTTCAGTTCTAGTTCTGTTCTAGTTCTGTTCTAGTTTCTGTTCTAGTTCTGTTCTAGTTCTGTTCTAGTTCTGTTCTAGTTCTGTTCTAGTTCTGTTCTAGTTCTGTTCTAGTTCTGTTCTAGTTCTGTTCTAGTTCTGTTCTAGTTATGTTCTAGTTCTGTTCTAGTTTTCTGTTCTAGTTCTTCTAGTTTGTCTAGTTCTGTTCTAGTTCTGTTCTAGTTCTGTTCTAGTTCTGTTCTAGTTCTGTTCTAGTTCTGTTCTAGTTCTGTTCTAGTTCTGTTCTAGTTCTGTTCTAGTTCTGTTCTAGTTCTGTTCTAGTTCTGTTCTAGTTCTGTTCTAGTTCTGTTCTAGTTCTGTTCTAGTTCTGTTCTAGTTCTGTTCTGTTCTGTTCTGTTTCTAGTTCTGTTCTAGTTTCTGTTCTAGTTTCTGTTTCTAGTTCTGTTCTAGTTCTGTTCTAGTTCTGTTCTAGTAGTTCTGTTCTAGTTCTGTTCTAGTTTCTGTTCTAGGTTCTGTTCTATTCTGTTTCTATTCTGTTCTAGTTCTGTTTCTAGTTCTGTTCTAGTTCTATTCTAGTTCTGTTCTAGTTCTGTTCTAGTTCTGTTCTAGTTCTGTTCTAGTTCTGTTCTAGTTCTGTTTCTAGTTCTGTTCTAGTTCTATTCTAGTTCGATGCTAGTTCTGTTCTAGTTCTGTTCTAGTTCTGTTCTAGATCTGTTCTAGTTCTGTTCTAGTTCTGTTCTAGTTCTGCTCTAGTTCTGTTCTAGTTCTGTTCTAGTTCTGGTTCTAGTTCTGTTCTAGTTTCTGTTCTAGTTCTGTTCTAGTTCTGTTCTAGTTCTGTTCTAGTTCTGTTCTAGTTCTCTTCTAGTTCTGTTCTAGTTCTCTTCTAGTTCTGCTCTAGTGGTTCTAGTTCTGTTCTAGTTCTGTTCTAGTTCTGTTCTAGTTCTGTTCTAGTTCTGTTCTAGTTCTGTTCTAGTTCTGTTCTAGTTCTGTTCTAGTTCTGTTCTAGTTCTGTTCTAGTTCTGTTCTAGTTCTGTTCTAGTTCTGTTCTAGTTCTGTTCTAGTTCTGTTCTAGTTCTGTTCTAGTTCTGTTCTAGTTCTGTTCTAGTTCTGTTCTAGTTCTGTTCTAGTTCTGTTCTAGTTCTGTTCTAGTTTTGTTCTAGTTCTGTTCTAGTTCTGTTCTAGTTCTGTTCTAGTTCTGTTCTAGTTCTGTTCTAGTTCTGTTCTAGTTCTGTTCTAGTTCTGTTCTAGTTCTGTTCTAGTTCTGTTCTAGTTCTTTCTAGTTCTATTCTAGTTCTGTTCTAGTTCTGTTCTAGTTCTGTTCTAGATCTGTTCTAGTTCTGTTCTAGTTCTGTTCTAGTTCTGTTCTAGTTCTGTTCTAGTTCTGTTCTAGTTCTGTTCTAGTTCTGTTCTAGTTCTGTTCTAGTTCTGTCTGTTCTAGTTCTGTTCTAGTTCTGTTCTAGTTCTGTTCTAGTTCTGTTCTAGTTCTCTTCTAGTTCTGTTCTAGTTCTCTTCTAGTTCTGCTCTAGTGCTGTTCTAGTTCTGTTCTAGTTCTGTTCTAGTTCTGTTCTAGTTCTGTTCTAGTTCTGTTCTAGTTCTGTTCTAGTTCTGTTCTAGTTCTGTTCTAGTTCTGTTCTAGTTCTGTTCTAGTTCTGTTCTAGTTCTGTTCTAGTTCTGTTCTAGTTCTGTTCTAGTTCTGTTCTAGTTCTCTTCTAGTTCTGTTCTAGTTCTGTTCTAGTTCTGTTCTAGTTCTGTTCTAGTTCTGTTCTAGTTCTGTTCTAGTTTTGTTCTAGTTCTGTTCTAGTTCTGTTCTAGTTCTGTTCTAGTTCTGTTCTAGTTCTGTTCTAGTTCTGTTCTAGTTCTGTTCTAGTTCTGTTCTAGTTCTGTTCTACTTCTGTTCTAGTTCTGTTCTAGTTCTGTTCTAGTTTAGTTCTAGTTCAGTTCTAGTTCTGTTCTAGTTAAAATGCACAGTGTGGCATCACTGTCCTTTAGCGTTTGATATTTAGTAGTGTTGTCAATTATTTATTTTTAAAATTGAACATATTGATGTGCTTCGAAAGCATTCCACCATGAAACTACTTTAAGCTTGATTCCAAATATTTTCCCGCTTCAATAGTTTTGACAAAACTCCCGCTCTGCTAGAATCTTAAAACTTCATAACACTTGACTAATTTTATTGAAATATTTTTATCACAGAAATTTAAAACTTTGAACACTAGACATAAACTGGTTTAAATTTAATATATAAATAACAACCTTTTAAAAGAGCTCGCATGCGTTATATAGATTGACAATTTAATAAATTGATATACTAGAATAATGACAACTATATAGAGAAGAGTTTGTTATTAAAAAAAGAACAGCTACAACACAGGGACAAAAACTTGAAATAAATTAAAACCCCCCAGAGGGTCATTTACGAAATGGGTCAAGGTTGTTAATTCAACAAGTAATGGTGTAAAAAAAAAGAAAAACTAAACAAATTAGATTTTATATACAAAAATTTAACATTTTATTAAATTAATTTAATTTTATTAAGGAAATTTACACCTTTTTGAAGAAATTTTCGTATTTTATTGATTGCTTTCAAATTAAGAAGACATTGACTCTTTTTTCAATAACGAAATTATTTATCCATGTGGTTTCATAATTTTGTTAAAAAGTTTTTTATCACCTCAAAAACATTTTCTGTTTATGGTTTCGAAAATATTTAACTTAATAGTAATTTGTTTAATTTTCACCGCTTTTAACGTAATTTAATTTTAGCCTTATGACTATATACAATTTTAACAAGTTGTTTCTTTTTGTATATTGATAACAGTAGAACATTTTAACAAAACTTTTAACAATAATATTTTATGATAAAGTCAATCATATAATCATAATAATTACTTATTTTTTTCGCGGCGATTAAAACATGAGTTGTTTTATTTTAAAACGTAGGAACAAAGTCCATTTCGATATTTGTAATTGTTATAAAATTTAAAATTTGATAATTTTTTTCATACCACACCGGAGTGTTTGGGGGTTCTTTTTTCTTGCAAAAAACTATTTACAACAATAATAAATATTTTAATAATTTACGAATATTGTTTTTTAATATTAATGAAAAAGTATAAACCGAACTAGAACAGAACTAGAACAGAACTTGGACAGAACTAGAATAGAACTAGAACAGAACTAGAACAGAACTAGAACTGAACTAGAACAGAACTAGAACAGAACTTGGACAGAACTAGAATAGAACTAGAACAGAACTAGAAAGAACAAGAACAGAACTAGAACAGAACTAGAACAGAACTAGAAAAGAACTAGAACAGAACTAAAACAGAACTAAAACAGAACTAGAACAGAACTAGAACAGAACTAGAACAGCACTAGAACAGAACTAGAACCAGAACTAGAAACAGAACTAGACAGAACTAGAACAGAACTAGAACAGAACTAGAACAGAACTAGAACAGAACTAGAACAGAACTAGAACAGAACTAGAACAGAACTAGAACAGAACTAGAACAGAACTAGAACTGAACTAGAACTGAACTAGAACAGAACTAGAACAGAGCTAGAACATAACTAGAACGGAACTAGAACAGAACTAGAACAGAACTAGAACAGAACTAGAACAGAACTAGAACAGAACTAGAACAGAACTAGAACAGAACTAGAACAGAACAGAACTGAACTAGAACAGAACTAGAACAGAACTAGAACAGAACTAGAACGGAACTAGAACAGAACTAGAACAGAACTAGAACAGAACTAGAACAGAACTAGCACAGAACTAGAACAGAACTAGAACAGAACAGAACTAGAACAGAACTAGAACAGAACTAGAACAGAACTAGAACACGAACTAGACAGAACTAGAACAGAACTAGAACAGAACTAGAACAGAACTAGAACAGAACTAGAACAGAACTAGAACAGAACTAGAACAGAACTAGAACAGAACTAGAACAGAACTAGAACAGAACTAGAACAGAACTAGAACAGAACTAGAACAGAACTAGAACAGAACTAGAACAGAACTAGAACAGAACTAGAACAGAACTAGAACAGAACTAGAACAGAACTAGAACAGAACTAGAACAGAACTAGACTAGAACAGAACTAGACTAGAACAGAACTAGAACTAGAACAGAACTAGAACAGAACTAGAACAGAACTAGAACAGAACTAGAACAGAACTAGAACAGAACTAGAACAGAACTAGAACAGAACTAGAACAGAACTAGAATATAACTAGAATAGAACTGGAAACAGAACTAGAACAGAACTAGAATAGAACTAGAACAGAACTAGAACTAGAACAGAACTAGAACTAGAGCAGAACTAGACAGAACTAGAACAGAACTAGAACAGAACTAGAACAGAACTAGAACAGATCTAGAACAGAACTAGAACAGAACTAGAACAGAACTACAACAGAACGAGAACAGAACTTGTTCTCTTTGCCTGTGTTCATTTATTGACAACACTGCTTTATGTCAAGAGTATTTTTCAAAACAAATGCTTGTCAGAGATGCCACATCAAAAAATTTGGAAATGATATCTTAGAGGAAGAGATGTGACAAAAGTTATAAGTTTTTCCTAAATATAACCATGATAAATCACTAGGAATTTTATTATAAAGAAATTCTTTAAATGTTTAATTAAAAATAGTATTCAATAATAGTAGTTGTTGTTGAATAAATGATTCATTTGTAATAAATAAGAAAAATTAATTAAAACAAATTTAAAACAAATTAATATTCAAAGAGCAACCGTATTTTGTAATAATTAAAGGAAATTCATTTTATAGGTATACTTGATAAAAACAGACAATAGGAAAAAAATATAATAAATTCCAAATTTTAAAAAGTAAAAGAGTCAGATTTTTTTAAATTTTTATAAATTTTCTATATAATAGTTTAATTTTTGAACTCAAAACTGCCTTCTCATTTACATTCACTATGTGTCAAGATTTGTTGTTTATAATTTCAGACACTCCTTAGTTTTTCTATTTTTAGTTTTTTTTTTTTTCTTCAAATAAATTCCTATATTTTTCCTTTTAAGGTTTTTTTTTCATACATGTATAGCGTGTTAATGATACACTTCATTCATCATTTTACAAAAAAACAAAAAAACACTGACTGTCTAAGCCCACAGGATAAGTTATAAAAAATAGTTAAATAGACAAACATCTGCTGATTAGTGGGTAATGATGGGGATACCTATATTTACATCATAATGTTTGTTATTTTATTAAGGATTATTTGTTTTTTTTAATATATTTTTTAATATAAATTTATAAAAATAATTAATAACTTGTGGTTTAATTCTTGATTGGTTGCAATTACATAATTAATATGGAAAACCCGACCTTATTAGTTAATTAAGTTCTAATTAGCTTGGAAATAAATTAACCGATTAAATGGATCTCTACAAAAGTCCAATGATGTTGTATTTATATCTGCCTAGACTTCTTGATGAAGGGGGTTTTGATCATTTTATTTTCTAGTAACTTAATCAATATATATTTTGCAGTAAATAATTTTTACTGCAAAATAGTTATCATGACTAAAGATTTATTTATAATGGCAAACATTCAAGTGGCATTTTTATTTTTAATTTTTTATGCAATCGATTAAAAAATATGCTATATAATTCGCACGTTATCGTTTTGCAATTCTTCCAGATAATCTAAAAGATTAATACACTTGACTTGCACTTGGTACATGATTTTCTTGAAGAATTCTAAGTTGGATTTTAGTTCTTGTTCATTTGTAGTTCAGTTCTAGTTCAATTCAAGTTCAGCTCTAGTCCATTTCTACTTCAGTTCTAGTTCAGTTCTAGTTCAGTTCTAGTTCAGTTCTAGTTCAGTTCCAGTTCAGTTCTAGTTCAGTTCTAGTTCAGTTCTAGTTCAGTTCTAGTTCAGTTCTAGTTCAGTTCAGTTCAGTTCAGTTCAGTTCAGTTCTAGTTCAGTTCTAGTTCAGTTCAGTTCTAGTTCAGTTCTAGTTCAGTTCTAGTTCAGTTCTAGTTCAGTACTAGTTCAGTTCTAGTTCAGTTCTAGTTCTGTTCTAGTTCTGTTCTAGTTCTGTTCTAGTTCTGTTCTAGTTCTGTTCTAGTTCTGTTCTAGTTCTGTTGTAGTTCTGTTGTAGTTCTGTTCTAGTTCTCTTCTAGTTCAGTTCTAGTTCTCTTCTAGTTCTGTTCTAGTTCAAGTTCTGTTCTAGTTCAAGTTCTGTTCTAGTTCAAGTTCTGTTCTAGTTCAAGTTCTGTTCTAGTTCATTTCTAGTTCTGTTCTAGTTCTGTTCTAGTTCTGTTCTAGTTCTGTTCTAGTTCTGTTCTAGTTCTGTTCTAGTTCTGTTCTAGTTCTGTTCTAGTTCTGTTCTGTTCTAGTTCTGTTCTAGTTCTGTTCTAGTTCTGTTCTAGTTCTGTTCTAGTTCTGTTCTAGTTCTGTTCTAGTTCTGTTCTAGTTCTGTTCTAGTTCTGTTCTAGTTCTGTTCTAGTTCTGTTCTAGTTCTAGTTCTGTTCTAGTTCTGTTCTAGTTCTGTTCTAGTTCTGTTCTAGTTCTGTTCTAGTTCTGTTCTAGTTCTGTTCTAGTTCTGTTCTAGTTCTGTTCTAGTTCTGTTCTAGTTCTGTTCTAGTTCTGTTCTAGTTCTGTTCTAGTTCTGTTCTAGCTCTCTGTTCTAGTTCTGTTCTAGTTCTGTTCTAGTTCTGTTCTAGTTCTGTTCTGGTTCTGTTCTAGTTCTGTTCTAGTTCTGTTCTAGTTCTGTTCTAGTTCTGCTCTAGTTCTGTTCTAGTTCTGTTCTAGTTCTGTTTTAGTTCTGTTCTATTTCTGTTCTAGTTCAGTTCAAGTTCTGTTTTAGTTCTGTTCTAGTTCTGTTCTAGTTCTGTTCTAGTTCTGTTCTGTTCTAGTTCAAGTTCAGGAGCCAATTTCTCGAATTCGAAAGCGATCGAAATTTCTAATAAAATTTTTGTAAATTCGATCGCTTTCGAAGGCCCGAATTTGCCACCAGTTCTAGTTCAGTAGAAATTTGTTGTTCTGTGTATTTGAAATTCTTAAAAAAATTCCAAAATATGCAGAATTTGTAATAAAATCCAAGTGTTTTAAGAAACGTCTTGAAACTGAGGAGTTTTTAATATAATTCTTTAACTACTCTTCTATTCAAATACTTAAAATTCCTTCAAAATCTAATTTATATTCCTAAAATTCAATTCTGCTTACAAATTTGGGTCTAGTTTCTATTTTAAATTATTCTGAAATAACACAACTAAACAAATTGTTTCAAAAAAATGCCATTAATTAAAATTCATTCATGAGCATGCATGAGCTGTAATAGAAATAAACAATTTTATTCTCAATACCCACCTTATGCTTAAAATAAATATTAAAAATAATCCAAATTTATAAGAAATATGCATTTTGCTAAATTTAATGGCGAGTTGTAGTTTTGTGTATAATTTAGTTTAAATATATTTTTATTTTTATTAAAAAATTAAAATACTTTTTGTTTCTTTTAAATTTATTTTAAAATTCTTGTTTTGTTTCTCTGCTAAAAACACATGTTGTTAGAGGACACTGTAATTATAATTAAATTATAAATAATTATTAGGAATTATAAATTAAACACTGTTTTTTATGTTCAAATAATATTTTTTATATTTTTGTTAACTTTTTTTATTTTCTTAAATTTTTTTCGGTATTTTTTTATTTATTTAAAATTTGTATTTTCTATTTTCTTTTTTTTATTATTTTACACGTTTGTATAACTCGCCCGTTTGCTGTCTTTTAATAAACTAACGGTTTTTAATTTTTCTATTGAGTAACACAGCTGTTGACCAGTATTTTGTATGAGTGTGTATTTTTTGTTTTTATTTTCTTTGTTTTTGTTGCTCTTTGAGTTTCTATCAGGCATGGAAAATTCATCGTCACTTTTTTAACTTGCAAACTTTTGCAAAGTAATCTAGAACGTACAATAGACTAGTCTATAGTCTAGTCTGTAGTCTAGTCTATAGTCTAGTCTATAGTCTAGTCTATAATCTAGTCTATAGTGTAGTCTATAGTCTAGTCTATAGTCTAGTCTATAGTCTAGTCTATAGTCTAGTCTATAGTCTAGTCTATAGTCTAGTCTATAGTCTAGTCTATAGTCTAGTCTATAGTCTAGTCTAGTAGTCTATAGTCTAGTCTATAGTCTAGTCTATAGTCTAGTCTATAGTCTAGTCTATAGTCTAGTCTATAGTCTAGTCTATGTCTAGTCATAGTCTAGTCTATAGTCTAGTCTATAGTCTAGTCTAGTCTAGTCTATAGTCTCTATAGTCTAGTCTATAGTCTAGTCTATAGTCTAGTCTATAGTCTAGTCTATAGTCTAGTCTATAGTCTAGTCTATAGTCTAGTCTATAGTCTAGTCTATAGTCTAGTCTATAGTCTAGTCTATAGTCTAGTCTATAGTCTAGTCTATAGTCTAGTCTATAGTCTAGTCTATAGTCTAGTCTATAGTCTAGTCTGTAGTCTAGTCTATAGTCTAGTCTATAGTCTAGTCTATAGTCTAGTCTATAGTCTAGTCTATAGTCTAGTCTATAGTCTAGTCTATAGTCTAGTCTATAGTCTAGTCTATAGTCTAGTCTATAGTCTAGTCTATAGTCTAGTCTATAGTCTAGTCTATAGTCTAGTCTATAGTCTAGTCTATAGTCTAGTCTATAGTCTAGTCTATAGTCTAGTCTATAGTCTAGTCTATAGTCTAGTCTATAGTCTAGTCTATAGTCTAGTCTATAGTCTAGTCTATAGTCTAGTCTATAGTCTAGTCTATAGTCTAGTCTATAGTCTAGTCTATAGTTAGTCTATAGTCTAGTCTATAGTCTAGTCTATAGTCTAGTCTATAGTCTAGTCTATAGTCTAGTCTATAGTCTAGTCTATAGTCTAGTCTATAGTCTAGTCTATAGTCTAGTCTATAGTCTAGTCTATAGTCTAGTCTATAGTCTAGTCTATAGTCTAGTCTATAGTCTAGTCTATAGTCTAGTCTATAGTCTAGTCTATAGTCTAGTCTATAGTCTAGTCTATAGTCTAGTCTATAGTCTAGTCTATAGTCTAGTCTATAGTCTAGTCTATAGTCTAGTCTATAGTCTAGTCTATAGTCTAGTCTATAGTCTAGTCTATAGTCTAGTCTATAGTCTAGTCTATAGTCTAGTCTATAGTCTAGTGATAGTCTAGTCTATAGTCTAGTCTATAGTCTAGTCTATAGTCTAGTCTATAGTCTAGTCTATAGTCTAGTCTATAGTCTAGTCTATAGTCTAGTCTATAGTAGTCTAGTCTATAGTCTAGTCTATAGTCTAGTCTATAGTCTAGTCTATAGTCTAGTCTATAGTCTAGTCTATAGTCTAGTCTATAGTCTAGTCTATAGTCTAGTCTATAGTCTAGTCTATAGTCTAGTCTATAGTCTAGTCTATAGTCTAGTCTATAGTCTAGTCTATAGTCTAGTCTATAGTCTAGTCTATAGTCTAGTCTATAGTCTAGTCTATAGTCTAGTCTATAGTCTAGTCTATAGTCTAGTCTATAGTCTAGTCTATAGTCTAGTCCATAGTCTAGTCTATAGTCTAGTCTGTAGTCTAGTCTACAGTCTAGTGTATAGTCTAGTCTATAGTCTAGTCTATAGTCTAGTCTATAGTCTAGTCTATAGTCTAGTCTATAGTCTAGTCTATAGTCTAGTCTATAGTCTAGTCTATAGTCTAGTCTATAGTCTAGTCTATAGTCTAGTCTATAGTCTAGTTTAGTCTAGTCTATAGTCTAGTCTATAGTCTAGTCTATAGTCTAGTCTATAGTCTAGTCTATAGTCTAGTCTATAGTCTAGTCTATAGTCTAGTCTATAGTCTAGTCTATAGTCTAGTCTATAGTCTAGTCTATAGTCTAGTCTATAGTCTAGTTTATAGTCTAGTCTATAGTCTAGTCTATAGTCTAGTCTATAGTCTAGTCTATAGTCTAGTCTATAGTCTAGTCTATAGTCTAGTCTATAGTCTAGTCTATAGTCTAGTCTATAGTCTAGTCTATAGTCTAGTCTATAGTCTAGTCTATAGTCTAGTCTATAGTCTAGTCTATAGTCTAGTCTATAGTCTAGTCTATAGTCTAGTCTATAGTCTAGTCTATAGTCTAGTCTATAGTCTAGTCTATAGTCTAGTCTATAGTCTAGTCTATAGTCTAGTCTATAGTCTAGTCTATAGTCTAGTCTATAGTCTAGTCTATAGTCTAGTCTATAGTCTAGTCTATAGTCTAGTCTATAGTCTAGTCTATAGTCTAGTCTATAGTCTAGTCTATAGTCTAGTCTATAGTCTAGTCTATAGTCTAGTCTATAGTCTAGTCTATAGTCTAGTCTATAGTCTAGTCTATAGTCTAGTCTATAGTCTAGTCAATAGTCTAGCCTATAGTTTTACGCTGAGTCTGGTCTATAGTCTGGCCTATAGTCTAACGCTGAGTCTAGTCTATAGTCTAGTTTATACTCTAGTCTATAGTCTAGTCTATAGTTTAGTCTATGGTCTAGTTTATAGTCTAATCTATAATCTAGTCCATAGCTTAGTCTATAGTCCAGTTAGCACTGTTATAAAATTTCAATTTTCCATGCCTGCTTTTTAGGTTTTGTTTACAACCCCTTTTATCTTAAACAGTTTATTGTTAAAATACAACAACAATAAATTGTAAAATTTATAATAATTTTAGTTTCTACTGTAATTGTTTATTAAAATCCCGCATATTTTAACTGAGATAATCAATTATTATCACTCTTGCCTCTTGTGTTTACTTTCGTTTACACTCTCTTAATGAAAGTTGGCATGGTTGCTCTCTTTTGTTTACTTTTACATTTCATTGACAAAGCTGCCGTATGTGGTGTTTCTTATTAGAGTGATTTTGTAGGGTTTTTTTAAGCAATTAACTTATCAAAGTGATTTTATAATAATTTTTTGCAAATTAAGTTGTTGTTTCTAATAAATTTAACATTTACTAACAAATTCTTTAGATTCTCGTGCGAGATTTTTAATTTTTAACATTTCTTTCTGTTCACTTTTCCCTCTCTTTCTTTTTCTTGAATTTATGAAACAAGTTTTCTCTTTTTGTTTTTTTTACTCTTTTTTTTGCTTTTCAGTGATAATCTTTTTGGTCTTATTAATCTTATCAGTTTTTTGTTGTTGTTTAGGAATCGTAATGTTTTTGTTTGATTATTATTACCATTATTACTAAGAAATTGTTGTTATTATTGTTGTTGTTTCTATGTATGACTTGTTTTTCTTTGCATTATAGTTGTTATTGTTTAAGTTTAATCATCCTATGCTATTTGTTGTTATTTCTATTAAACAAACTATTGTTGTTATTTTTTTATTATCAGTGTGGCCACATACTTGGGAACAAGTACTTAATTTGTTTGATTTTGTTTTCTTTTTGCAATTTCTTAACACTTTTTTTATTAATTATAAAAATTGTTGCTGACAACCTAATAGCAAAAGGTTTTACTTCATAAATTAATAAATATTTAGTTAAAGATTAAATCAGAGAAAAGAACAATATTAAGTTTAATTAATAAAATTCTCTTTTAGGTTTTGTATTTACATATAATTTATCTTTTAATTGTTTATAATAAAATTCCATTGAAACATTTTTATTTTGTTCAATTTAATTGCTTTTTTACAATTAAATTTCTATTTATTTATTTAAAACATTAAACATTTGCAATTACAAGTAATTATTTTATTGTTTTTTTTACAAAATCATCATAATTATTGTTGACGTTTTGTTATTTTGATTTTGTTTCTTATTAAAATTGAAAACAAATGTAAGAAATCAATGTGTAAAAGCAAAAGAGAGAGAGAGAGAGAGAGAGCTGACGCTCTGCCTTGCAAAATGTAAACACAATGTTTAATGCAATTTATGGCAATTGGTTATTCGATTTTTCGAAAATGTTTTAAGAAAACTGTTTTTGAAGAATCTCTTTACTATAGAATAGAGATCATTGAACATGTTTTCTATAAAAAAAAACTGATCTTTGAACAAAATTGCTTTAGAAAAGAGACTATTTAACATGATCGTCGATAAAGTTGTCTATAGAAAACAGATCGTTATTTTTATAGAAAACTAATCGTAGATGAAGTTTTCTATGGAAATCTGATAATTAATGAAGTTTTCTATAAAAAAGTAGATGAAGTTTTGTAAAGAAAACTGATCGTTGTTGAAATTTTCTATAGAAAACTGATCGTTGTTGAAAATTTCTATAGAAAACTGATCGTTGTTGAAATTTTCTATAGAAAACTGATCGTTGATAGAATTTTCTATAGAAAACTGATCGTTAGTGGAATTTTCTACAGAAAACTGATCTTTGATGATATTTTCTATAGAAAACTGATCTTTGATGATATTTTCTATACAAAACTGATAGTTGATGAAGTTTTCTATAGAAAACTGATAGTTGATGAAGTTTTCTATAGAAAACTGATCGTTGATGAAGTTTTCTATACAAAACTGATCGCTGATTGAGTTTTCTAAAGAAAACTGATCGTCGTTGAAGTTTTCTATAGAAAACTAATCGTTGCTTAAGTTTTCTATAAAAAACTGATCGTTGATGAAGTTTTTCTAAAGAAAACTGATTGCTGATCACGTTTTCTATATAAAACTGATCGCTGATCAAGTTTTCTATACAAGACTGATGGTTTTTGATATTTCCTATAGAAGACTGGTCGTTAATGAAATTTTCTATAGAAAACTAAAGAACTTTTCTTAATTAAACTGATCGTCGATGAAATTTTCATTTGTAACAAATAATCGGTTACTCGAGTAAAGTTATTGGAACAAATACTCTAGTCATATCGTTTCTTTATAAAATCCATATATATTATATAGAGTATATTTATGTATACAAATATAATACAAGTGAACATTTTGTTTTATCGCTATTTATTATTATTGTTGTTTTATTTTAAATTATTTTGTGGAATGATCGGGGTTCGTTAATTTTGACCTTTACTCCGAATATATTTTATTGTTTGTTTTAATTTTTAACATTTTTTTTTGTTTTAAATTGAAATGAGTAAAGTACAACTTTTAAAATTATTAAAGAAATTCGTAATAATTTTGTAAATGTTAAATAAATTAACTAAATCGGCAAATTAATTGTAAGATGTACAATTTCGTTGTCATTTTTTTGTGTATTTCTTTATTGATTTATAATTAATTTTTGTTTCTATTAAATCATTTATTTCTTTATGTTTTTAATTCATTATTTTGCTGTTTTATTTATTATAGTTTTGCTTGTTTTTTTTTTATTTTGTTGTTTTGCTTAATTTTAAGGTTTCACTTTGCATATTCGCTGCGTTTTTATTATTTTCTCGTTTCTTCTTTTCATGTGTTATTTTATTTGTGTGTTTTCTTCTCCCTGTCTACCATACCGTTCTACTAAAAAGTCAAAATACAACTGTTTTTTTTTTTCGTTCGGTTTCAGTTTCAATAATTTTTTTCCAATATATAATTGAGCTTTGTTGTCTCTTTAGTTTAGTTGTGTTTTGTAAATTGTTTTTGTTTCTGACACTCATCTCCATTGAGCTTTGTATTAAAACAAGTACATTCATATTTGTTGTTATATTATCTTGCCAGGCATGGAAAATGCAGTACTATAGTACTTTTTGACATCGATATATAACGCGATACCAACATGAGATGTTTGGTACTTTTAAAACTCATAAAACAGTCTATAGTCTAGTCTATAGTCTGGTCTATAGTCTAGTCTAAAGTCTAGTCTATAGTCTAGTCTATAGTCTAGTCTATAGTCTAGTCTAAAGTCTAGTCTATAGTCTAGTCTATAGTCTAGTCTATAGTCTACTCTATAGTCTAGTCTATAGTCTAGTCTATAGTCTACTCTATAGCCTAGTCTATAGTCTAGTCTATAGTCTAGTCTATAGTCTAGTCTATAGTCTAGTCTATAGTCTAGTCTATAGTCTAGTCTATAGTCTAGTCTATAGTCTAGTCTATAGTCTAGTCTATAGTCTAGTCTAGTAGTCTAAGTCTAGTCTATAGTCTAGTCTATAGTCTAGTCTATAGTCTAGTCTATAGTCTAGTCTATAGTCTAGTCTATAGTCTAGTCTATAGTCTAGTCTATAGTCTAGTCTATAGTCTAGTCTATAGTCTAGTCTATAGTCTAGTCTATAGTCTAGTCTATAGTCTAGTCTATAGTCTAGTCTATAGTCTAGTCTATAGTCTAGTCTATAGTCTAGTCTATAGTCTAGTCTATAGTCTAGTCTATAGTCTAGTCTATAGTCTAGTCTATAGTCTAGTCTATAGTCTAGTCTATAGTCTAGTCTATAGTCTAGTCTATAGTCTAGTCTATAGTCTAGTCTATAGTCTAGTCTATAGTCTAGTCTATAGTCTAGTCTATAGTCTAGTCTATAGTCTAGTCTATAGTCTAGTATAGTCTAGTCTATAGTCTAGTCTATAGTCTAGTCTATAGTCTAGTCTATAGTCTAGTCTATAGTCTAGTCTATAGTCTAGTCTAGTCTATAGTCTAGTCTATAGTCTAGTCTATAGTCTAGTCTATAGTCTAGTCTATAGTCTAGTCTATAGTCTAGTCTATAGTCTAGTCTATAGTCTAGTCTATAGTCTAGTCTATAGTCTAGTCTATAGTCTAGTCTATAGTCTAGTCTATAGTCTAGTCTATAGTCTAGTCTATAGTCTAGTCTATAGTCTAGTCTAGTCTAGTCTATAGTCTAGTCTATAGTCTAGTCTATAGTCTAGTCTATAGTCTAGTCTATAGTCTAGTCTATAGTCTAGTCTATAGTCTAGTCTATAGTCTAGTCTATAGTCTAGTCTATAGTCTAGTCTATAGTCTAGTCTATAGTCTAGTCTATAGTCTAGTCTATAGTCTAGTCTATAGTCTAGTCTATAGTCTAGTCTATAGTCTAGTCTATAGTCTAGTCTATAGTCTAGTCTATAGTCTAGTCTATAGTCTAGTCTATAGTCTATCTAGTCTAGTCTATAGTCTAGTCTATAGTCTAGTCTATAGTCTAGTCTATAGTCTAGTCTATAGTCTAGTCTATAGTCTAGTCTATAGTCTAGTCTATAGTCTGTCTATAGTCTAGTCTTAGTCTAGTCTATAGTCTAGTCTATAGTCTAGTCTATAGTCTAGTCTATAGTCTAGTCTTAGTACTATAGTCTAGTCTATAGTCTAGTCTATAGTCTAGTCTATAGTCTAGTCTATAGTCTAGTCTATAGTCTAGTCTATAGTCTAGTCTATAGTTCTAGTCTATAGTATAGGTCTATAGTCTAGTCTATAGTCTAGTCTATAGTCTAGTCTATAGTCTAGTCTATAGTCTAGTCATAGTCTAGTTATAGTCTAGTCTAGTCTATAGTCTAGTCTATAGTCTAGTCTTAATCTAGTAGGTCTAGTCTATAGTCTAGTCTATAGTCTAGTCTATAGTCTAGTCATAGTCTAGTCTATAGTCTAGTAATAGTCTATAGTCTAGTCTAGTCTATAGGTCTAGCTCTATAGTCTAGTCTATAGTCTAGTCTATAGTCTAGTCATAGTCTAGTCTATAGTCTAGTCTATAGTCTAGTCATAGTCTAGTCTATAGTCTAGTCTATAGTTAGTCTATAGTCTAGTCTTAGTCTAGTCTATAGTCTAGTCTTAGTCTAGTCTAGTCTATAGTCTAGTCTATAGTCTAGTCTATAGTCTAGTCTAGTCTATAGTCTAGTCTATAGTCTAGTCTATAGTCTAGTCTATAGTCTAGTCTATAGTCTAGTCTATAGTCTAGTCTAGTCTAGTCTAGTCTATAGTCTAGTCTATCGTCTAGTCTATAGTCTAGTCATAGTCTAGTCTATAGTCTAGTCTATCTAGTCTAGTCTATAGTCTAGTCTATAGTCTAGTCTATAGTCTAGTCTATAGTCTAGTCTATAGTCTAGTCTATAGTCTAGTCTATAGTTAGTCTATAGTCTAGTCTATAGTCTAGTCTATAGTCTAGTCTATAGTCTAGTCTATAGTTAGTCTATAGTCTAGTCTATAGTCTAGTCTATAGTCTAGTCTATAGTCTAGTCTATAGTCTAGTCTATAGTCTAGTCTATAGTCTAGTCTATAGTCTAGTCTATAGTCTAGTCTATAGTCTAGTCTATAGTCTAGTCTATAGTCTAGTCTATAGTCTAGTCTATAGTCTAGTCTATAGTCTTAGTCTATAGTCTAGTCTATAGTCTAGTCTATAGTCTAGTCTATAGTCTAGTCTATAGTCTAGTCTATAGTCTAGTCTATAGTCTAGTCTATAGTCTATAGTCTAGTCTATAGTCTAGTCTATAGTCTAGTCTATAGTCTAGTCTATAGTCTATAGTCTAGTCTATAGTAGTCTATAGTCTAGTCTATAGTCTAGTCTATAGTCTAGTCTATTGTCTGGTCTATAGTCTAGTCTATAGTCTAATCTATAGTCTAGTCTATAGTCTAGTCTATAGTCTAGTCTATAGTCTAGTCTATAGTCTAGTCTATAGTCTAGTCTATAGTCTAGTCTATAGTCTAGTCTATAGTCTAGTCTATAGTCTAGTCTATAGTCTAGTCTATAGTCTAGTCTATAGTCTAGTCTATAGTCTAGTCTATAGTCTAGTCTATAGTCTAGTCTATAGTATAGTCTATAGTCTAGTCTATAGTCTAGTCTATAGTCTAGTCTATAGTCTAGTCTATAGTCCAGTCTTTAGTCTAGTCTATAGTTTAGTATATTGTTTAGTCTATAGTCTAGTCTATAGTCTAGTCTAGTTTAATTTTTGTAGTGAGTTTTATTTTCTAATATCAGTTTACCATGCCTGGTAAACATACTCTTTTTATTATTTAAAAGAAAAAACTAGTTTGCCTTAATATTCTCTTGAAATATCAAGAGATGTACAGAGAAATATAACAGAGTGTTATGTTATTATTAACAGAAGTGTTATGAGAAGCTGTAACAGTTACAGTGTAATTGAAAGCTGTATTTCTTCTACTCTGTTATTTACATTAATTTCTTTTGCAATTCTCTTTTTTAATTACTGGGTTACATTTCAATTTTTTAAAATTTTATTAAATATTTCATATTTTTTAAACCTTTTTATATCTTTTATGCAATTTAATGTTTTTTTGTTTTTTCTTTTTCACTGCTCTTCTTTTTGTTAGTGTTGTAATTTACTTAAACAAAACAGTTTTTGTAATTTGAGGCATTATTTGTCTATTTTTTATGTCTCTCTGTTTTTGCTTCTTTTTTTGTTTATAATTACAATTTCACTTCCGATTTTGTACATTATTTACAAAAAAGAACAACAATAAAGTATGTTCTCTATAAACAATTAAAGAAAGTCATTGACATGTTAAATGTTTCAGAAATAATGCCAACCATTCAGCCCGACCCGACATTCTGTTAAACCGTCCATTCATCCGTATGTCTGTCTCTTTTTTTAGTTTTAATTGTTTTGATTCTTTTGTATTGTAAACTTTTTAATGGTTTTGTTGTGGTTCAAAGTAGAAATGCGACCATCCATTCGATTTTATTTTTTCATTTTTTGTAAAGTTGTAAAAAAAATTGAATTTTTTTGTAAAAAATGTTTAACACATATGGGAATTTCTTGTTTTCCCCTTTTCGAAATTTACTGTATTCTGTTTAATAAAGGGTGATCTTTTTTGATGAGCGGGTTGACAACATTGTTAAAGAAGTTTTCTAGAGAAAACTGAACTATTAAGGTGAGAAATTATCTATAAAGAAGTTTTCTATAGAAAACTGATCTGCGACGAATTTGTTTTAAACAAAACTGATCGATAATCAAATGTTCAATAGAAAACTAATCGATGATGAAATATTTTTTATGGAAAACTGATCATTGATATAATTTTCTATAGAAAATTGAACGATAAAGAAGTTTTCTGCAGAAAAATTGTTAGATATAAAAGTTTACTGATCAATGATGAAATTCCTTACAGAAAAACTGATCGGCTATAAAGTTTTCTATAACAAAACTAATCGTTGATGAATTTTTCAGTTGAAAACTGACCGACGAAAAAGTTTTCTGTAGAAAAATTGATTGATTTTCTGAATAAAACTGATCGACGATAAAGTTTTCTATAGATAACTGATCGTTGTTAAAATTTTGTATAGAAAACGGATTGACCTGAAGTTTTCTATAAAACTAATCATCGACAAAGTTTTTTATAGAAAAAATATCAAGAAAACAGATCATTTATAGAGCTTTTTATGGAAAGCTGATCTTGTGTGAAGTTTTATATAGAAAACTGGTCGTAATGAAGTTTTCTATATAAAACTGATTTTTTTGAAGTTTTCTAGAGAAAACTAGTCATTGTAAATGTTTTCTAAAGAAATCCGATCGTTGTGAAAGTGTTCTATAGAAAAATGATCTGTAATGACGTTTACTATAGAAAACTGATTGTTGTTAAAGTTATCTATGGAAAACTGATCGTGGTTAAAGTTTTCCATAGAAAACTGATCGTTGCTGAAGTTTTGTATATAGATAACTGATCGTGGTTACAGTTTTCTATAGAAAACAGATCGTTGTTAAAGTTTTCTATAGAAAACTGATCGTTTTTAAAGTTTTCTATAGAAAACTGATCGTTTTTAAAGTTTTCTATAAAAAACTGATCGTTTTTAAAGTTTTCTATAGAAAACTGATCGTTTTTAAAGTTTTCTATAAAAAACTGATCGTTGTTAAAGATTTCTATGGAAAACTGATCGTTGTTAAAGTTTTCTATAGAAAACTGATCGTTGCTAAAGTTTTGTAAATAGAAAACTGATCGTTGTTAAAATTTTCCATATAAAACTGTTCGTTTTTAATGTTTTCTATAGAAAGTTGATCGTTATTAAAGTTTTCTGTAAAAAACTAATCGTTGTTAAGGTTTTCTATAAAAGAACTGATCGTTGTTAAAGTTTTCTACAGAAAACTGATTGTTGTGAAAGTGTCCTATAGAAAACTTATCGTTGTTAAAGTTTTCTATAGAAAACTGATTGTTGTTAAAGTTTTCTATAGAAAACTGGTCGTTTTTAAAGTTTTTTATAAAAAACTGATCGTTGTTAAAGTTTTCTATAGAAAACTGATCGTTGTTAAAGTTTTCTATAGAAAACTGATCGTTGCTAAAGTTTTGTATACAGAAAACTGATCGTCGTTAATGTTTTTTATAGAAAACTGATGGTTGTTAAAGTTTTCCATATAAAACTGTTCGTTGTTAATGTTTTCTATAGAAAGCTGATCGTTTTTAAAGTTTTCTATAGAAAACTGATCATTGTTAGAGTTTTCTATATTAAACTGATCGTTGTTAAAGTTTTCTATATTAAACTGATCGTTGTTAAAGTTTTCTATATGAAAGTGATCATTGTGAAAGTGTTCTATAGAAAATTGATCGTTTTTTAAAGTTGTCTATAGAAAACTGATCGTTGTTAAAGTTTTCTATAAAAAACTGATCGTTGTAAAAGTGTTCTACAGAAAACTGATCGTTTCTGAAGGTTTCTATAGAAAACTGATCGTTTCTGAAGTTTTCTATAGAAAACTGATCGTTGTTAAAGTTTTCGTTGATGAAATTTTCTGTAAAAACTGATTGACTGATCATTTTCTACTTCTCTTGAAAAGATCACCCTTTTTGATCATTACTTTTAGCTTTTAAATATAAAATTGATTTTAATTGCATTATAATGTCATTAATAAGATCATAAAAACAAATTATTTGTAAAGAAGAAAACTAAAATATGGGTTAATGCAGATTTGTTATAATACTTTGATTAAAATCTACAAAAACAAAGACTTTGTTGGACTTTGAATAACAACATATTTAATTTAAATTACAAGAAAAATAATTATTAAATAATAATAACAATTAAAAACGTCATTTAATATTTATATACTAAATATATTACAGCTGTAACTAACACAGTTACAGCTGTAACAAAACAGTTAAGTTGGCTATAGTAATATTATTAAAATATGGCAACTTCTTAATAACAGTGTGGCCTATTACTCTAGAAAATAAAAGCTCCACTAAGTCTATGATGTAGAAGTGATTTCATTGTTATTATTTTATTGATTAATTTAACATCCTGAAATGTTTTTGTTTTTGTTAAAATTTTAAGAGATTATTTCCTTACCACTTTAGACTAAAGTCTAGGGAAAACATTTTTGAACATAAACTTAGGAAATGACTCATAATTTTCTTTTGGTTGATGACCAACAATAAAATTTTTGTTTGCGCAATGGCAATAGCCATTTCAATGATGAAATTAAGTACTAGTAGTTGTTATTTAAAAGGGATTTTTTTATTTAAAGAATTTAAAAAAGAAATTTTAAAAATTTCTTGTCTACTAAATTCTTTAAAAAACTTTTTTTTTAAACCAGACTAGTAGGCTGTTTCAAATGATCATTTAAATTAGTTTTCAACTTGACAATAAGATCATTTTCATCTTTATCATAATCTAAATAAGACATTGCATGTGTCTGGTCTAGTGCAAATGAAATGCTATGACCGTTAAGTGTGCAAATAATATTTTAGTTAGTTCAGCAGTAATTTACACTTTGATTTATTTTTACAGGTCAAGTTTAAAATGATTTCTGTTAATTTCTCAAGATTAAGATCATTTAACGTACTAAGCAGTTAGTTATGCTGCTTTGTTTTAACTTTAGACTAATTTAAGTAATAAATTTTAATTTTATTTTTTATTTTTTTTTTTTTTTCATTCTAGTATTGCAATGGCGGTGATCTGGCAGATTATTTAAGTGTCAAGGGTACTTTGAGCGAGGATACAGTACGTTTGTTTTTAATACAATTGGGTAAGTATAAGAAGAATCTATTGATAAGAGTAAGTTAAAACTAAAACTGATCGTGGAAGAAAAATTCTATGGAAAACATAATGATCAGAATGTTGTTAAAAGAAAAGTGATCAATAAAGATGTTTTGACTGATCGATTATAAAAGTTCTTAATGAAAAAAGGATGATAAAGTTTTCAGTAGAAACTGATGGAAGATAAACATTTCTATAGAAAACTGATCAGTAATGAACATTTTTAATCAAAACTGATCGACAATAAGTATTCAATAGAAAACTGATCGATATTCAAGTTTTATTTAATGATCGACGATGATATGTTCAATGGAAAACTCATCGATAATGAAGTTCTCTATAGAAAACGAATCAATGATAAAGTTCTCTATAGAAAACTGATCGATGATAAAGTTTTCTATAGAAAACAGATCGACACTGAAGTATTCAATATAAAACTGATCGATGGACAACTGATCGATTTCATTGAAAAAAGATTCTTGAATTAGAAAACAGATCGACACTGAAGGATAAATAAGAGTAAGTTAAAATAAAAACTGATCGCTGTGAAGGATTTCTATAGAAAACAGAAGGATCAAGATATTTTTAAAAGAAAAGTGATCAATGAAGATGTTTAACTGATCGATAATAAAGTTCTTAATGGAAAATAAAAGGATGATAAAGTTTTCAGTAGAAACTGATCAAAGATGAACATTTCTATAGGAAACTGATCAGTAATGAACATTTTTTAAAGAAGACTGATCGAAAATGATATATTCAATAGAAAACTGATCGATATTCAAGTTTTATTTAAAAATACTGATCGAAGATGATATGTTCAATGGAAAACTGATCGATGATGAAGTTCTCTATAGAAAGCTGATCGATGCTGAAGTTCTCTATAGAAAACTGATCGACAATGAAGTATTCAATAGAATTTTATTTGAAAAAAGTGATCAATAATGAAAAGTTCAATAAAAAACTGATCGATTACATTGAAAAATGATTCCTGAAATAGAAATCTGAAGATAATTGATCAATAAACTTCAGAAAACTGATCGATAATGAAGTTTTTTATAGAAAAGTGGTCAACAATAAAGTTTTCTCTGGAAAACTGATCTATGATGAAGATTTCTATAGAAAACTGATCGATAATAAAGTTTTCAATAGAAAACTATAAATGGCCTTCTGAAAACTGATCGATGATGAAGTTTTCTATAGAAAACTGATGAATGATGAAGTTTTCTATAGAAAACAGATCGATGATGATGTTGTCAATAGAAAATTGATCAAGGACAAGGTTTACTATAGAAAACTGATCTATGGCAAAGTTTTCTTTAGAAAACTGATCGTTAGAACTGTTCGTTGAACAAGTTTTCTTTAGAAAACTGATCGTTGACAAAGCTTTCTTTAAAAAACTGATCGCTGAACCAGTTATCTTTAGAAAACTGATCATTGAACCAGTTTTCTTTAGAAAACTGATCATTGAACTAGTTTTCTTTAAAAAACTGATCATTGACAAAGTTTTCTATAGGAAACTGATCGCTAAGAAAGTTTTCTATAGGAAACTGATCGTTGACAAAGTTTTCTATAGAAAACTGATCGTTGAAGTAGATTTCTATAGAAAACGAATCGTTGAAGAATGCTTCTATAGAAAACTTAACATTGAACAAGCTTTCTATAGAAAACTGATTCTTTAAGGAGTTTTCTTTAATTAGCTGATCTTTGAAGGTACCTTCTATAAAAACTGATCGTTTAAGAAGTTTTCCATAGAAAAATGATCGTAGTAAGAAATTTCCGTAGAAAATTTATATAACAAATTTGTTTTAAACAAAATTTTGCTTTTCTCTTTTTTCTTTTAGCCGGTGCCATGAAAGCTTTATATACCAAAGGAATTGTGCATCGTGATCTAAAGCCACAAAATATATTATTATCGCACAATTATGGCAAAACACTGCCAGCACCCTCAAAAATAACACTAAAAATAGGTAAATTTATATAAAAAAGAACCTTAAAAAGTTTTGATTCAAATTATAAAAACAAAATTTTGCTTTGTTCTTTCCCTGTTTTTAGCTGATTTTGGTTTTGCTCGTTTTCTAAATGAAGGCGTTATGGCAGCAACATTATGTGGTTCACCCATGTATATGGTGGGTTTTGAATATTTGGAAACATTTAACAAGATTTTAACTATTTTATTGATTTTTTTTCTCAGGCTCCTGAAGTTATAATGTCTTTGCAATATGATGCTAAAGCTGATCTATGGTCTTTGGGTACGATCGTTTATCAGTGTTTAACCGGCAAAGCACCTTTCTATGCACAAACACCAAATGAATTGAAATTCTATTATGAACAAAATGCCAATTTAGCACCCAAGTAAGTGGTTTTGTTTTTAGATTTTTAGCTAAAAATCTAAAAATATTTTTATTTAAAATGCATTTAATATTTGTTTTTGGGCTAAATTTGTTTTTACAATTTGTGTTTATTTTAATGTATTTTGCTTTTGCTTTTTAGAATACCCAATGGTGTTTCACCCGAATTACGTGATTTGTTATTGTGTCTATTGCGACGCAATGCCAAGGACAGAATTTCTTTTGAAAGCTTTTTCAATCATCGTTTCTTACAGGGCAAAAAGGCGGCTACATCACCAGGTATGAACAATTATTTTTTATTATTAAAAAGGAATTTTTTTTCTTATTAAACATTTTTGTTTTTGTTTAGGTGATATACCAGCTTCTTTGGCTATGGGCACTACACCCCCAACAAAATCGAAAAGTCCCTTACAGCAACAACTTGAACAACAGCAGCAGCAACAACAGCAACAGTTGCAGCAGCAATTACAGCAACAAAAACAACAACAGCCACAACTACAAAGAGCCGATGATGATTTTCAAGATGAAAATGCTGGTAAGTAAGGGGAAAGTTTTAGATTTAGCTCGCAACATAGAATAGGAAATTGACTAGACTAGACTATAGACTAGACTATAGACTAGACTATAGACTAGACTATAGACTAGACTATAGACTAGACTATAGACTAGACTATAGACTAGACTATAGACTAGACTATAGACTAGACTATAGACTAGACTATAGACTAGACTATAGACTAGACTATAGACTAGACTATAGACTAGACTATAGACTAGACTATAGACTAGACTATAGACTAGACTATAGACTAGACTATAGACTAGACTATAGACTAGACTATAGACTAGACTATAGACTAGACTATAGACTAGACTATAGACTAGACTATAGACTAGACTATAGACTAGACTATAGACTAGACTATAGACTAGACTATAGACTAGACTATAGACTAGACTATAGACTAGACTATAGACTAGACTATAGACTAGACTATAGACTAGACTATAGACTAGACTATAGACTAGACTATAGACTAGACTATAGACTAGACTATAGACTAGACTATAGACTAGACTATAGACTAGACTATAGACTAGACTATAGACTAGACTTTAGACTAGACTATAGACTAGACTAGACTAGACTATAGACTAGACTATAGACTAGACTATAGACTAGAACTATAGACTAGACTATAGACTAGACTATAGACTAGAATGTAGACTAGACTATAGACTAGACTATAGACTAGACTTAGACTAGACTAGGACTACTAGACGAGACTATAGACTACTAGACTAGACTAGACTATAGACTAGACTATACTAGACTAGACTATAGACTAGACTATAGACTAGACTATAGACTAGACTATAGACTAGACTATAGACTAGACTATAGACTAGACTATAGACTAGACTATGGACTAGACCATAGAACTAGACTATAGACTAGACTATAGACTAGACTATAGACTAGACTATAGACTAGACTATGGACTAGACTATAGACTAGACTATAGACTAGACTATAGACTAGACTATAGACTAGACTATAGACTAGACTATAGACTAGACTATATACTAGACTATAGACTAGACTATAGACTAGAACTAGACTAGACTATGACTAGACTAAGACTAGACTAGAGACTATAGACTAGACTATAGACTATACTAGACTATAGACTAGACTATAGACTAGACTATAGACTAGACTATAGACTAGACTATAGACTAGACTATAGACTAGACTATAGACTAGTCTGTAGACTAGCTAGAGTTAGACTAGACTATAGACTAGACTATAGACAAGACTATAGACAAGACTATGGACTAGACTATAAAATATAGTTATGACTAGACTATAGACTAGACTATAGACTAGACTATAGACTAGACTATAGACTAGACTATAGACTAACTATATACTAGACTATAGACTAGACTATAGACTAGACTATAACTAGACTATAGACTAGACTATAGACTAACTATAGACTAGACTATAGACTAGACTATAACTAGACTAGTAACTAGACTATAGAACTAGACTATAGATAGACTATAGACTAGACTATAGACTAGACTATAGACTAGACTATAGACTAGACTATAGACTAGACTATAGACTAGACTATAGACTAGACTATTAACTAGACTATTAACTAGACTATTAACTAGACTATAGACTAGACTATAGACTAGACTATAGACTAGACTATAGACTAGACTATAGACTAGACTATAGACTAGACTATAGACTAGACTATAGACTAGACTATAGACTAGACTATAGACTAGACTATAGACTAGACTATAGACTAGACTATAGACTAGACTATAGACTAGACTATAGACTAGACTATAGACTAGACTATAGACTAGACTATAGACTAGACTATAGACTAGACTATAGACTAGACTATAGACTAGACTATAGACTAGACTATAGACTAGACTATAGACTAGACTATAGACTAGACTATAGACTAGACTATAGACTAGACTAGACTAGACTATAGACTAGACTATAGACTAGACTATAGACTAGACTATAGACTAGACTATAGACTAGACTATAGACTAGACTATAGACTAGACTATAGACTAGACTATAGACTAGACTATAGACTAGACTATAGACTAGACTATAGACTAGACTATAGATTAGACTATAGACTAGACTATAGACTAGACTATAGACTAGACTATAGACTAGACTATAGACTAGACTATAGACTAGACTATAGACTAGACTATAGACTAGACTATAGACTAGACTATAGACTAGACTATAGACTAGACTATAGACTAGACTATAGACTAGACTATAGACTAGACTATAGACTAGACTATAGACTAGACTATAGACTAGACTATAGACTAGACTATAGACTAGACTATAGACTAGACTATAGACTAGACTATAGACTAGACTATAGACTAGACTATAGACTAGACTATAGACTAGGCTAGACTATAGACTAGACTATAGACTAGACTATAGACTAGACTATAGACTAGACTATAGACTAGACTAGACTAGACTATAGACTAGACTATATAGACTAGACTATAGACTAGACTATAGACTAGACTATAGACTAGACTATAGACTAGACTAGACTATAGACTAGATCGATAAACTAAATTTTGATTTCCTTTTTTATTTACAGTTTCGGTGGTTGAAAATCCTGCTATTTGTGCTACCATCACAAATGTGGGCATTTTATGTGAAAGTGAAAATAATACCGAATCTTCAGGATCACATGAAGATTCTGATGATTTTGTATTAGTACCCAAAAATCTTCCAGAAGATCAAAATGTTATTGACTATGAAAAGAAGTAAGTTTTCCGCGAAGTAAAAAGCAAATGTAAAGAAATTTAATTTAAAATTTGTCCACAGACATTCCACTAAACAGAACGCTAATGCCGCAGCAGTGCAAAATCAGTCCAGTCCTCCAAGACCTAGTACTTTGCCAATATCAGAACCCAAACCGGTGCCAGCACCAGTAAGACGTTATTCTACTAATAACACGGCAGCAGCGGGGGTAGCAGCCACAGCACCTAATACATCGCCCTTGGATAAGAATCAAGTACGTTATAGGGCGAATAGTGAACAAATATCATCGCCAAAATTGTCCACTACGGCTCCTACAGCCTCACCGGCTCAACAGATACCCAGATCTCAACCGATTAGTGTTAAGGGCCGACAGGAACATCGTAAAAGTAGTGTTAGTAGTGATATTAATTCTATATCACCACCAGCCGTACAATTTGCTATTGGTACACCACCCACGGGTAGACATCGTTCTACTTCTGGTGGCTCACTATCGGAAACACCACCACCCTCGGCTCCTAGCACTTGGCAGGTGAGTCCTGGTGGTAATACACAATCGCCTTTAAGACGCTCCGGACATAGTTCACCAGTGCTTCCGTCCGCTCTCACAAAACTACCCACTCTGGGTAGTCCTACTTTAATGGTGGCTCCCGGTTCAGTGGGTTCTTTGGGATCTGGTTCTGGTTCTTCGGAAAATAACAATCAACATCCCATGTTGGGACCCAGAGCTTTCACTTTACCCGAATTGGGAGCCACTGGCGGTTTACAGAGTTTATTGGATACCAATGCCGCTGGAGCAGGAGGTAATCCCTCTGATAGCCATCATCATTTGCATGCATTCCATGCTCCCGAATTGTCGGAAGAAACCCTTATGGATCGTGAACACAATGAAACCTTGTCCAAATTGAATTTTGTCTTAGCACTAACCGATTGCATACAAGAAGTGGCTGATTCACGTTGTGCCCCTCTCTCCGCTTTAATGGCAGCCGGCTCTAATGAACAACCACAAATCCCACCGCATGCTCCTGAGCATTGTAAGAGAGCCGAGAGATTAGTGTTATTGGTAAGAGCTTTACAATTGCTATCATCCGGCCTAAATTTGGCTTCACAACAGCTGAGAAGTGGCAACTTGAAGCCTTCATCTAATGTTAAAAACGGTAGGATTTACCTTTAAATAAAAGTTTTTGAAAATTATTAAATTTGTTTTTTTCCTAATACCAGCTTTATTAACCATGAATTCAAAATATCGCAGCATTTTATTTGAATCGAAAAAATTAAATGGCACTGGTCTATTGCAAAAAGCCAATGCATTTAATATAACAGCTGATAAAATTTTATACGATTATGCTTTAGATATGGTAAGTTATTTATTAATTAAATAGCTTAATAACAATAGTAATTGTTTATTTTTATTTTGCAATAGTGCCAGGCCGCTGCTTTAGATGAATTATTGAGTAATACCAAAAATTGTTTTGAACGTTATAATACAGCTCATATTTTGTTACATTCATTGGTTCAGAAATGTAATCATCCACAAGATAAAATGCTTTTAAATAAATGTAAGTAGAAAAATAATTAAGAATATTTAACAAATTCGAAATAAAATTTTACAAATTCAGATGAAAACGTATAAGAAAACAGTATGACAAGTTTGTTAAAGATAATTTCTAAAGAAAACTGATCGGTTTAAGAAGTTTCCTAAAGAAAATTGATCGTTAAAGAAGTTTTCTAAAGAAATCTAATCTATGTTGAAGTTTTCTATAGAAAACTGGTAGATAATGAGAAGTTTTATATAAAATTAGAACTATAAAGATGTTTTCTAAAAAAACAGATCGATAATGAAGTTTTCCATAGATAATTGATCAAAAAATAAAGTTTTCTAAAGAAAACTGATCGTTACAGAGGATTTTTGTAAAGAAAACATATCGAGGACGAAGTTATTTATAGAAAACTGCTCGATAATAAAATTGTATACAGAAAATTTTTTGCTGAAGAAGTTTTCTAAAGAAAACAGATCGATGATAAAGTTTACTTAATAAAACTGATCGCTAAAGGGATGTTTTATATAAAAAAGAGAACGATAAAGAACGTTTCTATAGAAAACTGATCGATGATGAAATTTTCTATAGAAAGCAGATCGATGATGAAGTTTTCTAAAGAAAGCAGATAGGTGATGAAATTTTCTAAAGAAAACTAATTGATGATAAAGTTTTGAAAGAAAACTGATCGATACAGATGATTGTTCGAAAGAAAACATATCGATGATGAAGTTATTTATAGAAAACTGATCGATATTAAAGTTTTATAAAGAAAATTTATCGCTGAAGAAGTTTTCTACAGAAAAGTGATCGTTGATAAAGTTCACTTAAGAAAACTGATCGATACAGGGATGTTTTATATAAAAAATAGAATGATAAAGGAGTTTTCTATAGAAAACTGATCGATGATAAAGTTTTCTATAGAAAACTGGTCGATGATTAAGTTTTCCATAGAAAAATGATCAAAAATAAAGTTTTCTAAAGAAAACTGATCGATGATAAAGTTTTCTATAGAAAACTGATCGATGCAGAAGTTTTCTAAAGAAAACTGATCGTTAAAAAAGTTTTCGAAAGAAATCTAATAGATGATGAAGTTTTATAAAAAAAACAGATCGATGATGAAGTTTTCCATAGAAAACTGATCAAAAAATAAAGTTTTCTAAAGAAAACTGATCGTTACAGAGGATTTTTGCAAAGAAAACATGTCGATAGAAAACTGATCGATAGTAAAGTTTAATAAAGAAAATTTGTCGCTGAAGAAGTTTTCTAAAGAAAACAGATCGATGATAAAGTTTTCTTAAGAAAACTGATCGACAAAGAGATGTTTTATATAAAAAGTAATACGATAAAGAACGTTTCTAATCGATGATGAAGTTTTCTATAGAAAACTGGTCGATAATGAGAAGTTTTATATAAAAATAGAACTATAAAGATGTTTTCTAAAAAAACTGATCGATGATAAAGTTTTCTATAGAAGTTTAGGAAGTTTTCGAAAGAAATCTAATCGATCATGAAGTTTCCTATAGAAAACTGGTCGATGATGAAGTTTTCCATAGAAAACTGATCAAAAATAAAGTTTTCTAAAGAAAACTGATCGATGATAAAGTTTTCTATAGAAAACTGATCGTTGAAGAAGTTTTCTTAAGAAAACTGATCGTTAAAGAAGTTTTCGAAAGAGATCTAATAGATGATGAAGTTTTCTATAGAAAACTGATCGATGATGAAGTTTTCCATAGAAAACTGATCAAAAAATAAAGTTTTCTAAAGAAAACTGATCGTTACAGAGGATTTTTGTAAAGAAAACATATCGAGGAATTTATTTATAGAAAAACTGATCGAAAGTAATCATTGAATTAGATTCTTGTTTATAATTGATCGTGGAATAAGCTTTCTGTAGAAGTAGATTTCTATAGAAAACTGATCGTTGAAGTTGATTTCTGTAAAAAACTGTAAATTGAAGTAAATTTTTATTAAAATCTGATCGTTAAAGTGGATCTCATTGCAAAACTGATCATCGAAGTAAATTATTAAAAAAAACTGATCATTGAAGAAGATTTCTATAGAAAAGTGATCATTGAAGTAGATTTCTACAGAAAACTGATCGTTTAAATTGATTTCTGTAAAAAACTGATCATTGAAGTAAATTGCTATTCCAATCTGATCGTTAAAGCGGATCTCAATGGAAAATTGATCTTAAAAATAAATTTTTCTAAAAAAAACTGATCGTTGAAGAGAATTTTTATAGAAAACTGATCGTTGAAGTTGATTTCTGTAAAACATTGATCACTGAAGTAAATTGCTATTTCAATCTGATCGTTAAAGTGGATCTCAATGGAAAATTGATCTTCAAAGTAAATTTTTATAAAAACGACTGATCATTGAAGAAACTTTCTATAGAAAAGTGATCATTGAAGTAGATTTCTATAGAAAACTGATCGTTGAAGAACATTTCTATAGAAAACTGATCGTTGAAATTGAATTCTGTAAAAAACTGATCATTGAAGTAAATTCTTATTTAAATCTGATCGTTAAAATGGATATGAATGGAAAATAGATCTGCAAAGTAAATTTTTATAAAAACGACTGATCATTGAAGAAAATTTCTAAAGAAAAGTGATCATTGAAGTAGATTTCTATAGAAAACTGATCGTTGAAGTTGAATTCTGTAAAAAACAGATCATTGAAGTAAATTGCTATTCAAATCTGATGGTTTTAGGGGATTTCTATTGAAAACAGATCATCCAAGTAAATTTTTATAAAAACGACTGATCATGGAAGAAACTTTCTAAAGAAAGGTGGTCATTGAAGTTTATTTCTATAACAAACTGATCGTTGAAGAAAATTTCTATAGAAAAATGATCGTTGAAGTAGATTTCTATAAAAAACTGATCAGTAAAGAAATTTTCTATAGAAAAGAGATCGTTGAAGTAGATTTCTATAGAACACTTTTCATTGAAGAACATTTCTTTGGAAAACTGATCGTTGAAGTTGATTTCTGTAAAAAACTGATCATTGAAGTAAATTTCTATTAAAATCTGATCGTTAAAGTGGATCTCAATGGAAAACTGATCTTAGAAGTAAATTTTTATAAAAACAACTGACAATAGAAAAAGATTTCTATAGAAAAGTGATCGTTGAGTAGATTTCTATAAAAAACTGATCGTTGAAGTTGATTTCTGTAAAAAAACTGATCATTGAAGTAAATTTCTATTAAAATCTGATGGTTTTTGGCGATTTCTATTGAAAACGACTGATCATTGAAGAAACTTTCTAAAGAAAGGTGATCATTGAAGTAGATTTCTATAGAAAACTGATCGTTGAAGAAAATTTCTATAGAAAAATGATCGTTGAAGTAGATTTCTATAGAACACTGATCATTGAAGAACAATTCTTTGGAAAACTGATCGTTGAAGTTGATTTCTGTAAAAAACTGATCATTGAAGTAAATTTCTATTAAAATCTGATCGTTAAAGTGGATCTCAATGGAAAACTGATCTTGAAAGTAAATTTTTATAAAAACAACTGATAATAGAAAAAGATTTCTATAGAAAAGTGATCGTTGAGTAGATTTCTATAAAAAACTGATCGTTGAAGTTGATTTCTGTAAAAAAACTGGTCATTGAAGTAAATTTCTATTAAAATCTGATCGTTAAAGTGGATCACAAGGGAAAACTGATCTTTGAATTAAATTTTTTTAAAAACTGATCATTGGAAAAGATTTCTTTAGAAAAGTGATCGTTGAAATAGATTTTTATAGAAAACTGATCAGTAAAGAAAAATTTCTATAGAAAAATGATCATTGTAGTAGATTTTTGTAGAAAACTGATCGTTGAAGTTGATTTCCGTAAAAAACTGATCATTGAAGTAAATTTCTATTAAAATTTGATCGTTAAAGTGGATCTCAATGAAAAACTGATCTTGGAAGTAAATTTTTATAAAAACAACTGATAATAGAAAAAGATTTCTATAGAAAAGTGATCGTTGAGTAGATTTCTATAGAAAGTTTGAAGGAAGTTTTCATTTCGTTTGATTTTCTTTAATAATATATTAATAAATGAAAATATGTTTCTTTTCTTTTTATTACAGATCGTGATGCTGTGGAAAAACGTTTAAATATTTTACAACAACAAGGTTATATATATGTAACCGATGAAAATTCTTAAGTTAGGAAATATAACAATAAACCACAACATCATGAACAATTTTTCTGTTGGAAAAACTAAAAAAACACAAATTCTTTTTTTTTTTAGAAATTTTTTTTCTTAAATTAACTTTTTGCAATTATTATTTTAAATATTTAAAATGAAGCTAAAACCTTAAACAAAATGTGATTATTTATTTTCCTTAAAACTTAGAAAAACACAGAAGAAAATAAATTGCAAGAGGAGGTTGGGGCTTTGAAAAAAAATGTATGTAAATATTTAGGATTTTTTTTAAATAATTTAAATTGTTTCTTAGATTTTAAAAATATTCTTTTAATTTTAATATTAACTTAAAATAAGTAAAAAAAAACAGAAAAGGGCTTGCAATTTTTTAAAAAGTTTAATTTTTTTATTATAATTTTGAAGTGTTTGTATGAGTTTTTACAAATTTGTTTTTTTAAAGTTAATAACAAATAGCAAACAGAAAGATAAAAACGTATTTATTTAATAAGTATGTATTTAAACTATTAAAATAGGGCTTCAAAACTGCTCTCCCTTTCCCCTCTTAAACCCCCCCCCCACTACTATTTGTATGGTTTGAAAAGAACAAAAACTTTGAAATTTGAATTATGAAAAAAAATTTAATTTTTAAGCAAAACTTTTGTAGTAGTTTAAGTTTAAGCAACAAAACATTAACTATACATTTAAACTTTAATATAAAAACAAAATCAACTGTATTAATTTATGTTTTTTTTTTAAACAATTGTTTTATTTTTCTTTGTTTTTTATTATTATTTATAGTTTTATTAATAATTTATAATTAAAATTAAAAAATTTTTAAAGTTGTTTTTTTCTACAATTTTTTTTTAAATTTTCTATTAACTATTATTGCTCTTAATTATATAAATAATTATATTGTATTGTTTTGAAATCTTTACTAAACATTTTCATATTTTATTTCTATTTAGTTTGAAATATGATGCAAAATTAAAACAAAAAACAAAAAAAAAAAAAAAATCATAATAAATATTCCAAAAAATAAATAAAAACATACGAAATATTCATGAATATAAATATAATATTAAAAAAAATAGTTTTATTTTTAATTAAATTAAAAATTTAACATAAATAACAGTATGATAGCCGTGGGTGTTTAAAGAGAAAAGTGATCGTTGAAGTAGATTTTTGAAAAACTGATCCTAGCAACAGATTTCTATAGTAAATTAATCTTTAAAGTAGATTTCTAAAGTAAATTTTATAAGGAAAACTGATCTCTTAAAGTAAATTTCTATAGAAGACTGATCATGAAAGAAAATTTCTAAAGAAAACTGATCGTAGAAGTAGATTTCTAAAGAAAACTGATCGTAGAAGTAGATTTCTAAAGAAAACCGATCTTTGAAGTACATTTCTTAAGAAAAACGATCATTGAAGTAGAATTCTTAAAAGAAAACAGATCGTAGAACAGATCATAAAAGTAGATTTCTAAAGAAACTCGATCGTTGAAGTAGATTTCTAAAGAAAACTGATCATAAAAGAAGATTTCTAAAGAAACTCGATCGTTGAAGTCGATTTCTAAAGAAAACTGATCGTTGAAGTGAATTTCTTAAGAAAACTGATCGTTCAAATATAATTCTATAATTTGAAATAGATTTCTATAGAAAACTGATCGTTCAAGTAAGAATTCCGATCATTGAAGTAGATTTCTTAAGAAAATCGATCGTTTAAGTAGATTTCTTAAAAGAAAACTGATCGTTAAAGTAGATTTCTAAAGAAAACTGATCGTTAAAGTAGATTTCTAAAGAAAATTGATAATTAAAGAAGATTTCTAAAGAAAACCGATCGTTGAAGTGGAATTCTTAAGAAAACTGATCGTTGAAATGTAATTCTATAATTTGAAATAGATTTCTATAGAAAACAGATCGTTGAAGCCGATTTCTAAAGAAAACTAATCATTATAGAAGATTTCTAAAGAATATCGATTATTGAAGTAGATTTCTTAAGAAAACTGATCGTTGAAATGTAATTCTATAATTTGAAAAAGATTTCTATAGAAAAGTGATCGTTTGAAGTAGAATTCTTAAAAGAACCTGAACGTTAAAGTATATTTATAAAGAAAACTGATCATTCAAAAAGGATTTCTATATAAAAGTGATCGTTTATATAGAAATTGTTGAAGTAGTTAGTTATTAGTTAGTGTAGTCAGTAGATAGTTAGTTAGTTAGTTAGTTAGTTAGTTAGGTTTAAGTTCGTTAGTTAGACTAGTTAGTTAGTTAGTTAGTAGTAGGTTAGTAGTTGTTAGTTAGTTAGTTAGTTCAGTAGTTAGTTAGTTAGTTAGTTAGTTAGGGGTTAGTTTAGTTAGTTCGTTAGTAGTTAGTTAGTTAGTTAGTAGGTCGTTAGTTAGTAGTCAGTTAGTTAGTAGTTAAGTTAGTTAGTAGTTAGTTAGTTAGTTAGTAGTTAGTTAGTTAGTTAGTTAGTTAGTTAGTTAGTTAGTTAGTTAGTTAGTTAGTTAGTAGTTAGTTAGTTAGTTAGTTAGTAGTTAGTTAGTTAGTTAGTTAGTTAGTAGTTAGTTAGTTAGTTAGTAGTAGTTAGTTAGTTAGTTAGTTAGTTAGTAGTTAGTTAGTAGTTAGTAGTTAGTTAGTTAGTTAGTTAGTTAGTTAGTAGTTACTTAGTTAGTTACTTAGTTAGTTACTTAGTTAGTTAGTTAGTTAGTACTTAGTTAGTTACTTAGTTAGTTAGTTAGTTAGTTAGTTAGTTAGTTAGTTAGTTAGTTAGTTAGTTAGTAGTTAGTTAGTTAGTTAGTTAGTAGTTAGTTAGTTAGTTAGTTAGTTAGTAGTTAGTTAGTTAGTTAGTAGTTATTAAGTTAGTTAGTTAGTTAGTAGTTAGTTAGTTAGTTAGTTAGTTAGTTAGTCAGTTAGTTAGTTAGTTAGTTAGTTAGTTAGTTAGTAGTTAGTTAGTTAGTTAGTTAGTTAGTTAGTTAGTTAGTTAGTTAGTTAGTTAGTTAGTTGTTAGTTAGTTAGTAGTTAGTAGTTAGTTAGTTAGTTAGTTAGTTAGTTAGTTAGTTAGTTAGTTAGTAGTTAGTTAGTAGTTAGTTAGTTAGTTAGTTAGTTAGTAGTTAGTTAGTTAGTTAGTTAGTTAGTAGTTAGTTAGTTAGTTAGTTAGTTAGTTAGTTAGTAGTTAGTAGTTAGTTAGGTAGTTAGTTAGTTAGTTAGTTAGTTAGTTAGTTAGTTAGTTAGTTAGTTAGTTAGTTAGTTAGTTAGTTAGTTAGTTAGTAGTTAGTTAGTTAGTTAGTTAGTTAGTTTGTGTTGTTAGTTAGTTAGTTAGTTAGTTAGTTAGTTAGTTAGTTAGTTAGTTAGTTAGTTAGTTAGTTAGTTAGTTAGTAGTTAGTTAGTTAGTTAGTTAGTTAGTTAGTTAGTTAGTTAGTAGTTGGTTAGTTAGTTAGTACTGTTAGTAGTTAGTTAGTTAGTTAGTTAGTTAGTTAGTTAGTTAGTTAGTAGTTAGTTAGTTAGTTAGTTAGTTAGTAGTTAGTTAGTTAGTTAGTAGTTAGTTAGTTAGTAGTTAGTTAGTTAGTTAGTTAGTTAGTTAGTTAGTTAGTTAGTTAGTTAGTAGTTAGTTAGTTAGTTAGTTAGTTAGTTAGTTAGTTAGTTAGTTAGTTAGTTAGTTAGTTAGTTAGTTAGTTAGTTAGTTAGTTAGTTAGTTAGTTAGTAGTTAGTTAGTTAGTTAGTTAGTGTAGTAGTTAGTTAGTTAGTTAGTTAGTTAGTTAGTTAGTTAGTTAGTTAGTTAGTTAGTTAGTTAGTTAGTTAGTTAGTAGTTAGTTAGTTAGTTATGTTAGTTAGTTAGTTAGTTAGTTAGTTAGTTAGTTAGTTAGTAGTTAGTTAGTTAGTTAGTTAGTTAGTTAGTTAGTTAGTAGTTAGTTAGTAGTTAGTTAGTTAGTAGTTAGTTAGTAGTTAGTTAGTTAGTTAGTTAGTTAGTAGTTAGTTAGTTAGTTAGTAGTTAGTTAGTTAGTTAGTTAGTTAGTTAGTAGTTAGTTAGTTAGTTAGTTAGTTAGTAGTTAGTTAGTTAGTTAGTTAGGTAGTTAGTTAGTTAGTTAGTTAGTTAGTTAGTTAGTTAGTTAGTTAGTTAGTTAGTTAGTTAGTTAGTTAGTTAGTTAGTTAGTTAGTTAGTTAGTTAGTTAGTTAGTAGTTAGTTAGTTAGTTAGTTAGTTAGTTAGTTAGTAGTTAGTTAGTTAGTTAGTTAGTTAGTTAGTTAGTAGTTAGTTAGTTAGTTACTTAGTTAGTTATTAGTTAGTTAGTTAGTTAGTTAGTAGTTAGTTAGTTAGTTTAGTTAGTTAGTTAGTTAGTTAGTTAGTTAGTTAGTTAGTTAGTTAGTTAGTTAGTTAGTTAGTTATTAGTTAGTATTAGTTAGTTAGTTAGTTAGTTAGTTAGTTAGTTAGTTAGTTAGTTAGTTAGTTAGTTAGTTAGTTAGTTAGTTAGTTAGTTAGTTAGTTAGTTAGTAGTTAGTTAGTTAGTTAGTTAGTTAGTTAGTAGTTAGTTAGTTAGTTAGTTAGTTAGTTAGTTAGTTAGTTAGTTAGTTAGTTAGTAGTAGTTAGTTAGTTAGTTAGTTAGTTAGTTAGTTAGTTAGTTAGTTAGTTAGTTAGTTAGTTAGTTAGTTAGTAGTAGTTAGTTAGTTAGTTAGTTAGTTAGTTAGTTAGTTAGTTAGTTAGTAGTAGTTAGTTAGTTAGTTAGTTAGTTAGTTAGTTAGTAGTTAGTTAGTTAGTTAGTTAGTTAGTTAGTTAGTTAGTTAGTTAGTTAGTTAGTTAGTTAGTTAGTAGTTAGTTAGTTAGTTAGTTAGTTAGTTAGTAGTTAGTTAGTTAGTTAGTTAGTTAGTTAGTTAGTTAGTTAGTTAGTTAGTTAGTTAGTTAGTTAGTTAGTTAGTTAGTAGTTAGTTAGTTAGTTAGTTAGTAGTTAGTTAGTTAGTTAGTTAGTTAGTTAGTTAGTTAGTTAGTTAGTTAGTTAGTTAGTTAGTTAGTTAGTTAGTTAGTTAGTTAGTTAGTTAGTTAGTTAGTTAGTAGTTAGTTAGTTAGTTAGTTAGTAGTAGTTAGTAGTTAGTT